AGAGTATGCCACAGAGTATGCCACAGAGTATGCCACAGAGTATGCCACAGAGTATGCCACAGAGTATGCCACAGAGTATGCCACAGAGTATGCCACAGAGTATATATATATATATATATACACCACCCATCGTATACTCTGTATTACTTGAAACAACTGACTTCTGGTCATGTCCTTGCTAATAAACAACCGACACCCTTTTTTGTCCCTCGCTCAAATCTTCACATGACCCCAGACGACACCATTTTTCCCTTCCCATCACTTCATCAACAATTCCAATTGTTCTCTTCTCCTCTCCATGGCAGCGTGTGCACGTTTGGATTGTTGAGCCATGTCCTTGACGTCACCGATGCCCAAGGGGTCCAGGTCTTCGGCCAGGTTCTGCATGGGACCATCAAAACCGTCGTTGTTGTCATTACCACCACGATCACGGGGGTCATGGTCGGACTCTTCGACACCAACAACAACATCGTGCACTCCTTCCGGCTTGGCGTCCTCGCCATCTTCAGCCAGTGTCTCAGCGCGAACACCATTGCCAGCATCGGCAATCGCAGCACCCGTGTCCTTTCCAGCCTCGAGACCACGTCCCTCTTTCTGCAAATCATCAATACCTTCTTCATCTCGCACCGGCCCCGTCGTCGTGGCCGTCGTCGACACAGGAGCCCTCGTCCTGATTATTTGTATTTGTGTACCTTGATTCGCATGCGGCGATGGGGAAGCCCTTCCAGAAACAGGAGTTCTCGTTCGACTGATCGGTTCCTGACCCTTCTGTGTCGTCAACTCCGCGGTGGCTTCAGCGGTCTCGACACCGACCAAGACTGGGGTCCTAGTCCGGCTTATCGGCACCGACGCTGAACCCGATTGACTCTGACTTTGGGAACCACCGACCGAGGTCCACATCTCGCCGGTCTCACCGTCGCCAACCTTGGCCGTGGCTTTACTGTTCATCTCTTCATCCGTACGCCCAAAAAGTTCATTCCACCACCTCGCTTCTCCTGGCCTGGGGAACATCAACCTCTCCTTTCCGCGTACATTATCATCCACCACAGGGTCGTACTTGGGATTGATAAACTCCTTTTTCCTTGCCAGAAAGTAATCCCAAACACTTCTCGTACGCTCGGCGAGTCGTGCGTCATTTCTCTCCTTCTCACTGTCGCCGAGAAAAGTCCCATACTGGCATGAATATAGATGATATAGTAATCTCCGTAAGAATCGTTCTGTGAATTCGAAGCGTGTCGGGTACTGATGTAACAACTGATATGTGGCGTCGAGGAACTGGTGGAATATCGGACTCGTCTCTTTCACCTTGGTAGTGGGCTTCTCCTTGTCCTTGCCACCACTACGAGATACAATCCGTCGATTGGCCTGACTCTCGCTGTCGTTACCAGCCGCGTCAATGTCGGAATCAATGTTGAGACTTTCGCGCGAGTCATTGTTCCTCGAAGTCGAGAAAAAGCCCCTCGCGCTGAGGAAGGCATTTTCAAAGGCCTTTTGTGCACCCGACATCGCGCCTGACTGCTCCTTGCCATCAACGTCCTCGTTTCCACGGCTGATCCTCTCGTTCTCAATGTGAAACCACTTGTCCGAACTGAGAAAGCCCGACCGATGCTTGAACATGTGTCCGAAACTCAACCAGTCTTTCTCGACCAGCACGATGAAACCTTCCATGGTGCGATAGTACGGATCTAGACACAATTGGCTCAAAGACGAGAGCTGGCTTGTACGATCCCACCCATCGCTGCAATGGATGAGCACATGACTATGCTGCAATCCGACCTGGCGAGCGATGAGACCAACTCCATCCAGAACGTTGGAAATATGTTTCAACCAATCGCTCTTTTGCAGGAGTTCACGGTTTGGACCCAGGGGAGTCAGGTCCGAATCCTTCAGAGCATCCACAACTTTGTTCAGGCTGTCCCGCATGACGTGGATGTTGTCGATGCCCAGGTACACTTTCGTGGCAAATTTGTAGTTGTTCATATCTTCTGATCCCATGCCTGTAGCATGGTTTACCATCGCATTGATACTCGGTCGGGCATCGACTATCATGTTCCTTTGCTGCGCCCCATACACCAGAGGCCTCTTGTCATCGGCATCTGAAGCCATGTCGTCGTCCCCGCGCAACTTTGATATCACCGCGTCTTCTAACGCTTCAGCATCAGGCTGCTGAAGATCGTCGACGTTTGTATTGGAGTTCGAAAGGCTCGCATTCGACATGTTTGACCCGGCTGAGTCCTCGCGTTCGGGTGGCGGTGAGTTATACTCGCTCAGGGGCCGTTCTGCTCTCGTCGTATTGAATATAGCAGCGAGCAATTTCTCATCCTGAATACTTCTATTCCCTCTCACACCAACTAGTGGCTGCGAACACCTCGTAATAGAGCAGTCATTCACCGGATGTAGGTACGTGAGGACCGGGATTCTTGCGCGTGATCGATAACTCTTCGCATAGTTCAATGTCACGTCCGATATCGACGCTGGCACGGGCAGAAGGGCAGGGTATGTTGGGCTGAACGAGTAGTCGGTGTTGATCCTCGAAATCCTCCATTTGCGTTCTTTGCTAGGATTTTCCAGGCCCATCCGCCTCCATTCGCGCATGGGGTCGTATAATGCCCATCCACTCGGCCGCACGTCTCGCTCCGCCCCAGTAGGAGCATAGCTGAAGGCGTAGAGCTTTTCAATGCCACTGAGTTTGCATGTCCAAGCTCTTATGCTGTCGTATACATCCCGCGCCTTTTCTTTGGCTTCGTCCTGGAAAAGAAAGCATACAAAGGTGAAATCGCGGCATCGCAGGCGGATAGAGCTGGGTTGCCTGGAAGCCAGTGGCGCGGGCCGAAAGGTGCACTGTTGGATGATAGGATAGGTTATCCACAGCTCTCTTGGTCTCACAGGTCGGGGACTTGTGTCTTCCGTGGTGGGAGGAGCAGGAGCCGCCGGGGTGTGGACGAAGATGAGGTGGTGAGGCGTGAGGTGTACAGTTCCAACGACTTGCTCGCCGCGTCTTGAAAGGGTCACATTGTCAACCTACGACAATGCTGTTAGTTGTCTTTGGCCTCGAGATATTGTTTGCTGCTAAGGCGATACAACGGCGCTTAGACGAACCTTTGCAATCCGAGTGCGTTCCATCGCCATGGTGCTGAGGTTCCAAATAGACAGCACCTTGACCTTCGGAGGCTGCGGCTCAGATTAAGACATGATTCATGTATGCGAGCGCCTGGCACTTAAATAGTGGTGCGAATCCTCGAGAACAAGGGTCTGACTTGTGTATCAAAGCAAAGGGCACATAGTACGAGGAGATCTTAGACAACGTTTGTTGGTGATCGTGCGGACAAACGGCGTATCGGAATCGTAATCTACGTCAGATGAATAGGTGTCGGCTGCACAATTCCTTAGCGCAGCCTCATTCAGCCTTGTCACCTCATCAGTCACATGCAAACAGTCTACAACACCCTGATACACAGCCTCGTTTGCTGTTTTGTAACTCTTGACTCTTGTTGTTTTCGCTACTTCCAGCGTGTCTCAATGATTTCATTGTTCAAGTCCATAGACTGTGACTACGTGCAGATGAACCATCCGCCTGTTCGTTCTCGCATTATGATCCTAGCAGATCTCAATCCCCATCTTCATTTTAGACCCAATGCATTATGAACACGGTCGGTGTCGATGCCGAGCTTAGCACATCCAATCGTCACTATTTGTACAAATACAAACCTGAAGTCCCATCAGAGACTTGTCAGGATTCTTCAATGCATGGTACCAATCCCATCGTAATTTTTGCTCCCTATGCACCATGAACGCCATGCTATTTTCAAAAACATGTCCCGCATTCTCCATCTATGGTAGACATTATTCCAATGTCATGTGCACATGATATTGTGCATGAAAAGCTTGTTTATAAAAAATCATCAATGTTTCTCAATATTTCGGGGGCTTCGCCTTGTTGGTGCGGACTTCTCGGATCGAACGCTGTGGGAATCTGGTCGCCTGCTGATTCGGTGGAAGATCCGAAAACGTGGTGCGGGAGTAGCAGACCCATCGTCCTCGCCGGCTTGGGTGTCTTGTTAGACACAGCCAGGTCTCCTGCTGTCGTAATCCCAAATGGTGAAGCCATAAATTCTGTTGCTCGCGGTGAAAAGAGAGATGGGGTTTCTGGGACATCTTGCGCAGCAAGGTCCATCATCGGCGAGCCTGTGATCAAACCTAGTCTGGGAGTCTTGCTAGGTTCTGGCGAGGACGGACCCGACGTTGTGTCATCGAATCGTTCTCTGAATGGTAGAGGCCTCGGCGACTCGCTTGGAGAAAGACTGCGTAATTCTGGATTGGTGGCTGCCAGGGTCGGAGCTTCCGGTTTCGGAGGTGTGGCTATCTTGCCCAGTATCTGACTCAACTTTATGGGTGTTTCGATGTTATCCATTGGGTCATTCTTGGGAAAGAGAGGGACCGGTGGAAGTGCTTTGTTCAATCGTAAAGAAGATCTGGTCGGAGCTGGAGCATCGTCCGCCGGCTTGGTCGTGGCTGGGCCTGCGGTTGGCTTCTCCCACGGACGCGCAGGTAGCTCCTGTGCTGGTCTCTTTGCAACAGGTGTATCCATAACCGGTGAGGATGACTCGTGGAGTTTCCACCAATTTGGCTGGGGGTTGAAGGTGTGGTCGCCATAAATCCCTTTGGCCACTTTCGATCGAAAGTCTGCCAGTTGATAGATCAAGCTCATGTTCGGCCCAACCCATTGACTTCGTTCTTTCACGGACATATACATCGAATGGAAATCCGGCTGGTATCCTTTGTAGAGACCATAAGCAATCACCAGCGAAGCCGACCGAGATACACCCAATTGACAATGAACCAGGACCTTTTTGCCAGCCTGCACACGCTCGTCGATGATTCGGCACAAAGTGTACAGGTCCTCCAATATCTCAGAATTATGATCCCAGGGCACATGCAAATATTCAGGTTGCTTCTTCTGCAAGAATGAAATCGGTCTCGGTGTGGTGGGCGTTTGCGACCCACTTGTCTGTGGCCACTCCCAGGCTGATTTGAATGACATTTCTGAGATAGCTGTCTGAGGTTCAGACATCGTACGGGCTGGAGCCTCCACTTCGAATGGATTTTTGATCTCCTTCGCCACGTTGATGACTGTATCGAAATTGCTTGCCTCTTCCGCCGTGGGCTCGAGGTACAGATACACACCACTATCATAGATGCGCACTGGTCCATTTGGATATCCCTTTTCTTGAGTTTCCTGTGATCTCTGAGGGTGAAACTCATCTTCCTCCTTCAAGTCAGGGAGGGCGTTCGTCCCAGAAAGAGCAGAATTGCTTGAATCAGAGCCAGAAACAGAATAGACAGAACCACCTGTTGGCAAGTGCAGAGAAAGTCCTTGGGAGGAGGTCTTGTTCGGGGAGGCAAGCGTAGCTAGTGAAGGTGTTGATTGCATGTGATGTAGAGATGGCCTTGAACTTGGCGTTGGTGGGACATCCAGTGCCCGTGAGAATGCAAGTTGCTGAAAACCAGGGGTTCTGATGGTCAGGTTCGTAGGCTTTTTACGCCCCGTTCTAGGTGTATCTTTCAACGGCGAGGTAGGCGCGGAAAAGGCGTGGGAAGTTTCCATGCCAGGTGCTGTTGCAGGTCGAGGCAGAGATACTGCGTTCATATTCAGCGACAAATTCTTGACGTTCTTCGAGCTGTCTATGAGCGTGGACGGCGGTATTGACGGGGCAGTCGACATTATATTGGCAGGTTGTTTCTGCGCCTGAGGGTGGTCGTAGTGCTGTTCTGGTAGAGGTCTTGCCATTATATTTCCGAATGGTGATACGGGAGGCATGGAAGTTGCTGACTCTGGCGACGAAGAAGGTGACGAATCCGTCAGCAAGGGAGAGTCAAAGGTGGAATTCGTGGTGGTGGGTGAGGATTCTGTGGACGTCGTTGTCATGGAGGTAACACTATCGCGGTGTGAACGTGTGGGCTGAAGAGACGTAGAATGAGGTTTCGCGTCGGTGATGAGTATTTGGGTCTCGCTTTGTATTGAATCTGGTAAAGGCAACTCGTCCATATCCTTTGATATGCTTGTGCCTGTTTCCCCAACCACTGTCATGAACGATGGGAAAGGCGTGGACATGATCGAGCCAACTCCGATGGGCATATTCGAAGATCGTGGCAACGGCGGTCGTCGTTTCTTCGCGGATGTTGTGGAGGGGTCGGGGGTTAGATAGTCTATGGGCGAGACTGAAGAAATCGAACCATGTCGGGTAGAGGGTCGTGGTGGAGGGCAACCGTTGGCCAGGTCGAAAGATCTTTTGCGATGATGATAGTTAGCACTGCCCGGAGGATCTTGTAACATTTTGACTTGCGACTGCGACTGCTGATGGTCTAAGGTACATTGTACGATGCACATGGACAATCACTTTTTGCAATTCGCAGTCGCAGAGGAACAATGGGACGAGAGTGAAGTGAGGTTGAGTCAACGTACCAAGATCAAAACAAAGCACGGCAAAGATGCCACAGAGCATGCAGCAAGATGAGGGAGAAGTCTGACGACCCAGGGCTCCTCTTGCAGTTTCAGATTCAGCGCGTATCCAAAGTGCGGCGCAGCAATTCGCCTGAGGCTCTCACTCGAGGCCAATCCCCACTGCCGGAGAATTGGGGATGTAATACGGGCTCGGGAGGCGTGAGCGAGGGTGCCCTTCTCGTTGGGATCTAAGTGAGTGTGTGTATGCGCACGATTTGAGGGCGCGACGGTCCTAGGCAAGGCCGGGGGTGGACGAGTCGGAGGACGGTTGAGGGCGACTTGAGGCTGGCGACTGAGTGCTAAGGGTTCTGCGACAAGCGAGAGAGGACGACGGTGTGGGCACGTTCTGGCAGGAACGTGGAGTTAGAGGGCGAGAGTAGCAAATAGAATGGAGACACAGGCGCGGGATATGGCGCAATGGGGGAGTTGCAGGGTGAAGCAGAGGCGAGAGAGTTGATACAAAGATGCCCTTGTTGCTGGAGAGATCTGACAAGAGAAGTGAATTCGTCAGTCCCTTCAGCAATCTCTCACCTCTGTGTCTGTGAATGTCTGTCTGTTCTGTCGGTCCCAGCGCTTTGACGGTCAATCGAATGCTCCCTGTGCTCAATAGCATCTGAAGGGGCTTGCATGCTGAGGCTGCGATTGGAAGGCTGGCCAAAGCCCCTCCATGCTGAAACGGTGCCAATTGCTGCTATAAAAAGATCCCCGATGTTGGCCTCATTAGGCTGCAAATTTGCCGCGCGCATCCATGCATCCATGCGTCCCACCGACCAACAAATGCACAGATGGAACCCGCTGTCTCCCGGCTGTGTCAAGGCACCCTCAGACAGTCCTGGTGAGATGGTCGCTCCATGGTACTCTACAACACGAGCATCTGGAGAGGATGTGTCTAAAACACCCATCTACCTACTCCCTATAACACTATTTCGACTCTTACTCCATCTCTGAGTCTCAATCGTCCCTCGGCTTCTCTTCACCGGCGAATGGAATGGAAATTGCACTGCGTTTCAGATTGCTACAAGCCAAACAAGAAAGTCATCTGTGCGCCACCTTTCACAGCCAAGTCACCAGCTGTCGGAAAAGGACGGCACTATTGACTGTACGGGAGTAGTAGAAGTATTTAATTCCCCCAGAAATAACATCTGGCCCCCAAAGCGACGACTTTTCTTCATCACTTTCTGCACTTTGAATCCTTGTTACTCCGTAAGACGCCCGCACCCCTTGGAAATGTGGCCGTGGCCCAGGCATGATCGATGATCGATGATCAATGATCAGTGTTGAAATTTATCGACCCTAGGTCCACGATGACTGAACACTCACCATACTCCGTATACCGAGTCAACCAACTTACTGCCATAAGGGTAATCCACCTTTCGTATTCGGAACTTCTTAGGGAGGGAGTAATGATCTATTTTCATCTGCAAAACTCGCCGATGGACCGAGTGGCTTCTGATGCTCCGTACTCGTGCGAGTATGTTACAGCAGGTGCCGCACTCCCTATCTAGCTTAGGCTAGTTCTATGCGAGGAGATGGTCGCATCTTTTTTAAACAAATGGATAACTATGGGGTATAGGTTAGGTAGGTATGCAATATCGTCTTCTCACAAAAGTGTTCCAAAGTGTCCCCAGACAGTTATCCCTACGGCTCGGTCGGCCTTTTCCCTTAAACACCAAAAACCCACGTCGGTGACTTCGTGTCTCTTCATACTTTTTTTGTACCCTGTGCGCCTTGGCCCCAAACTGTCGTTAAAATGTCGTATTATCAATGGTAAATCGACAATTCGGAGAGGAGTGAGAGTGTCCTACCGGATTCACTCCGACGATCTCCGTGCGTCGAGAAGAAGGAAAGAATTTGGGAAATGAACTCCTAGGCTGCCAAGTCAAGCCCGATGTTTTGTATCGACATCTTCAGCACTTCTGAGCGTCTCTCTTGTTCTTCATATACAGCTCTCCGATGCCTGACTTCTGTCTGTTGACTTTTTGTCGAGCATTTATCGCCGCCGAGTAATGGGAAAAGGAGAAGTTCGACCAATCCCGGTGCTCTCTGGTTGGCCTTGATACTTCGACGACCTTGGTCAACTTCTTCTGGGGCTTGTCGTAGGTGAAGATGTCTTCAAACTCGAAGTCTTGTGAGGACAAGTCCATGGAGTCAAAGTTGGTGTTTTTCAAGACTTCTCGTTCGGCATCGGAGAGGGCGACATCGAAACTCGCGGTTCTCGTGTAAGGCACCAGTTGGACCTTGGGTATCAGGCCAGGTGAGACAGGAGATATTGACTGGGTCGATGTGCAGGATGATTTCCTTTCCCCAGCTGATCGACCGGAATCCGAATCCACAGACCGAGGACTGTGGGGAGGCGACTCCAAGGGGTGACTATTGTACGTGTAGGGGGCCATGGTGATCGAGCGGAAGGCGGCTTTGGTCGGACTTTGCAGATGATCTTTGATATAGAAGCGGCTGGATGAAATTCTGAAGAGTGACTATTGTTAAAGGACCATGAGTCACTCAGATATGGCGTGACCAGAGGTAATATAATCCGTCGAAAACTTTCATGCACGTCGAATGCCTGCCCGTGATGGATTGTGCACGCAGAGGTGTTCGGGAAGCCGAGACAGAGTGGCCCGGCTTTGATGTCACTGATGTTTCGAATTTGGAGGTAGACCAACCACGAAAAGACCTGGTCCTTCCAGTCTTACGTGTGTAGTAGTCGCAGCAGTTGTTGTTCCCTGTACGAGTGCTTGGAGGGAAGTGGGCGGCTGGAGACCATTCTCGACGGTGGAAATGCCTCGTTCCTTATACTCGTGTCGTGGCAGCAACAGAATCCCAGAGGACACACATGCAATCACCATTGGTTATGGCGACATCTGCCTGGCCAATTAAGGTCCTCAAACGGGTTAAGGTGCTCATTATTGTCCAAACTTCGTCGACGATGGCGTGTCCAGGCACGTTCCCACTGTGGGCGAAACATGCTGGGCGAGCAAGTTCCATCTCTGTGTCTGCCCATACGAGTTGCGAGACGCGGCAACGGTGTGCTGTTGCGTGTTAGTCATTGGAGTCCTCCGGCTGCAGCGGGCATCGGGCATCGGGCATCATACCACAGTCCATACAACGCCTGGTGGAGCAAACACTCATCAGTGTTGAAAATTTCACCTGCACGTGGATGGGCGTGCAGCCTCGTCAGACGTATTGATTGGACCTCTAGACATCGAATCAGAACCGACATCTGCCAAATGCCATGTCCTGCCAATCAACAAGGAATGGGAGAAACAGGAGGAAAAAGGAGGACAAGTTAACACCGTACACATGGCTCAACAAATGCTGCGCCATGGACGCGGCTTGCTCAATTAAGTCTAATAATTCCAGACCGAGTCAATGGTCCTCACATCTCTGGTGTGAGGACAAGCATAGACCCGGTACTCGAGGACTGCCTTCTCAGCGCTGAAATTTTCATCGTACATAATATGTTACAATCTTGACAAAAGTGTCGTGATCACGATCCAACGCTTTGACCTGAATTGTGTCTTTCTAACGCCATATTATCCAATTCCTGTCCTGTTGGTAAAATATTTCGCATCGCCCGTGAGTCTGGGTTCTCCTTTACACTGGCGTTACGATCAGCTTTTGCTGCTCTTAAGCGACTGCTGACGCTACTTATTCTGCTGGCGAATCCAAGGCTCCTTCTAGAGTTGGATGGTCGAAGTGTCACTTGACTCTCTGGTGTTACCTCGATGGGACTAGACATGGCCGCGGGCACAATGGTGATCCGGCCCCATTGATCCTTTGGTGTGGTAGGATTTCCATCTGGAGTGCCCATCAAGCTTGCTGGACCGGCATTCTTTCGCCTCGAAATCAAGCTGGAGCTCATATTCGACGGCATCGCGCTCCTCATGGGGTTGCTTGTATCACGCGACGTAGGTCTCGCGTGTTGAGGCATTGGGTGTTGGGCAGTGTACTCCCGAGAATATGCGGCACGGTCCCGGGGGAGATTACGATACGTGCTCACTTCTGTCATAGCTCGGCTCACAGGCCGGACAGAAGGGCTTGCCTCTTCGTCATCAGTGTTTCCGTCTGTTTGTCCAGGAGTCCTCCTGCTTCGCAAGGAGTTTGATGTACGTCCAAGCCTGGACGACGAAGTAGCCTGAACTTGCGGTAGCGCTGTTGGAGGTGTCTGGTAAATGTGCTCGGGTGTCGTTCCTTGTGGATTCAGCGTAGTACCAAAGGGGATGCTGGTTCGCCGACTTTCTAACCGCGACTGCACTCTTGCCGACACCGGAGGGCGGTCATTCGGTTCATTGCTGTATCGACGACTGCGAAGGCCGATAGAGGATGGGGCGTATGCGTCTCGACTGGCCGGTCGGGTACCAGGGGCTGGTGCTTGTTTGTTGTCTGCCAACATTGCAATGACCAGTTCCGTCAGGCTTCTGCACATGCTCTCGGTCCGCCGTCGTACTTGACGTTCGGACGCCGAAGAGCCGCCGATAGTACTACCAGTTCCGGTATACCCCTCCGGAGTCATCATCATGGAAAGTAGTAGTGCATCCTGTGCAGTAGCTTGCAATTTCTGATAAAGTTCATTGCTCACTATAGCTTTGGCGTTGCCAAGAGCTTCATGAAGAGTGGGATGAATAGTGGATGGTATGCCTTCAATTGCTGATTGTAATGGAGCAGCTGCGGGTTTTGGCTTGGGCGACGAGGAAAGTGTTGTTGCCGCCGTAGTTGCGGTTTTCGGTCTCTCGGAGGAGGTCATCGCAGCAGCTGACGAAGGAGGCAACTTTCCAGTGAGTTCAAGCTTTCGAATTCTTGACTTCAAATCATCTAGCTCATCCCATACAGTAGAAGGGGCTGTAGTAGAGATGGTCGACTCTGTGGCGTTGTGTTCTGGCATTTTTGGACGGTCCAAAAACCCCGAATCAGAGACCAGGCGGCTATTACGAGCAGTACTTGGTCGCTGTAGATGACGGCCAAGTGGCTCGCCAGTGATGCTTGTATTTGCATTTGAGTAACGCCTAGACAGTGTGCGTCGAGGCAAGTCGCCGTCGTGGATACCTCGAGATTCTTGCTGGGAAGCCAAAGAATCAGGACGGAGCGTGTCTTCGGTGTAGCCTCGTGACAGCGCACCTGGTACATGCTGTCCTAGGGACGCTCGCTTGCTGTAATATTTCAGAGCCTCGGACCGCCCAGACAAGCTTGCCGTGTCGAAGCGATCTTGGATGGGGGAAGATTTGTAGCCTGTGGCCGGCCGGGCGTTGGAAAAGAATGGTAGTGAAATGCGAGACCGTCTTTTATCGATGTTGGAAGGGGCTTGAGAACTTCGAGATGCATCTGTCTTTGCAATGTTCAAGAAAAGATCTTCGCTCTTCCGCTCGTCGCTGCTCGAGCCTTTGCTGTCTTCGTCAATGGGACTAGGTTTCAATTGCTGCTCCGACGTATCCTGTCCTGCGGAGACGAAAGATTCAGCCATTGCCGCTGGTTTCGTGGTAACCACGTCCGGCCTGTAGTCGTCTGGCGTGTTGGGAGTGTCAGGGCTTGACACCTCTTGTGTATTGGTCTCGTCCGAAACGGATTCTGCGCTGGAGGACGCGGTAGGAAGCCGCGTTACCAGCGATGGCTGTGTGGGGGTTTGCGCAGGTTCTTGAGGCTGTTCATTGATGTCGTGAGAGGGCGTGTCACGCGTCGTATTACTCGTGTTTTGAGGGCTGAGCTGGCGATCGAGTGCGCGGACTTTATCCTGCGACCGGGTCTGCTGAGTGCTGTAAGAAGGAGGAGGACCGCAGATGGTTTCAACAGGGTAGCTGCTGTGCGACGCTGGCGGCCTCCTTTGGAGCAATGATCGTTGGTTAGAATTGGAGTGGGCTCGGTGCAGGGTGATTGCAGGCTGAGCGGCACTTGATGTTGATGGTCGGCAGTCGTTTGGATCGTTGAAGTCGAGGGGACGGAGGTTGAAGGCAGGGACACTCGCGGTTTTCTGGAGACCAACTGGCTTCAGCATTCCAGATTTCGACACGTAAGAAATCTGCGGGCTGTCACCAAAGTTGGCGTTGCTCGTGGTAGTCGCGGTAAGTTTGGGCTTTTTCCGGAGTGGTGGGCGCATGCATGTCAAGTCATGGTTGACAGCGGTATCGACGATGCAGACGTTGTAAAAGTGTGGATCCGGTCGGCGCAGTGAAGACGCATTGGACACGCGCAGACAAAGATCATGATGGGCCGAAGCGTGATCCAAGGTGTAATAGGGAAGAGTGTGTTTGTTGGTACATGTGGGAGAAGTGAAGGCACGATAGGAGAGCGGAGGTGAAGCAAGTGTTGTTCTCGACGTGTTTTCCATGTGCTGATTTGATACATGGATCGTCTCCCCTGGCTAGTCTCTCTCGCTTGTGCTATGGTGAAATTCCTCAGGACGGCCTTGTTCGCAACACCTGGGCTCCTCTTCAAGGCCCTTTGATCTCTGATCATGAAGGGCGAAAAAGACCTCCGGACTACAGCTGGTGGGCAAGAGGGTGTCTGCTCCTCTTTATGCAGTGCTTTTTTTGCGTGATCAACTTCTTCTTCGTACTAACTCACGAACTACGGGGCCATGTGCATGAATGCGACGCCACTGTCAACATGCACACATCACGAAGCGCGAGTCTACTGTACCTGTCACATTTGGCTCCCCCAGGGCACAACTGTAGGACTACAACTGCAGGGCTACCGGAGAGGATGTTTGGAGTTGATAGTTGACTTGTCGAGCAGACACATTCTGGAGACAGAGGGCATGACTTTGGAGCCCTAAGGCCATTTAGACAGACACTACGGTTACAGATTGTAGACGCCATGTACGCTTAGAGCATGGTGCTGATGGAGGCTGGTGAGGGCCAGGGGCGTGATAAATGAGGGGATTGGGCCGAGGCCACCAAAAGCACCAGAAACACCCAGAGATACAGGGGGCCCCAGGCCTCTCCGGGTGGCTGTTGTGCTGCTCCTTAGGCTTATCATCCACTACGAAACTCGTATCGCGGAGTCCGGCATCACGCCGATTTCATTCAAAGCCCCAGAACTCACCGAAACGTGGACCTCGTCACAAGTCGAGAGACACGACAATGATCGACTGTCCACCTACTCGATGAACTCTGTATTTGTTGCATTATTGTTTGAGTGAGACTCAATAGTGCTGGGCCCTGCGGAAAACACTGAAGAGGACAAAGACACGCCATGACACCTTTTTGATTTAGCCAAACCCTAGTCGTGGTTCCTGCATGCATCGCGGGCACACCAGGCTTCGGGTATAATTCACCTAATGCAAGGTCCTCGAAAGTCATAACCCTTATAATCAGATCAGCCGAAGCTCGAAGTGTGCTTGTTATTTGCGAGAGCTCCAGGTCAACAAGAGGAAGCCCAACGCACAACATCTTACCTTATGACCTTCATGTAGAAGGAACCTTAGGTAAAGGAGTACAATTGGGGGCACCCCAGTGATAAGTATAGCGTTGTGCGTAATGCAGAGGCGGGTGTGCGTAATACCTGTCGCTGTTAACACGAGGAATGAGTGAGTCATCCTTATACTCCTTAAGGGAGCAACGTATTAATTATGATTTCGGCGCCTTGATGAAACTTCATATACCCTGACAACTAACTAAAGGAACATATCATTCGCCTCGCATGGCTACAAGACGGACTCGCATAGTCTGTGTATCCGATACTCACAACCAAACCCCTAGACTACCCTCTGGAGACATCCTCGTCCACGCTGGTGACCTCACAAACCAAGGATCTCGGTCTGAACTTGAGAAGACCGTCAGTTGGTTGGCAAAGACAGACTTCAAGATCAAGATTGTTGTTAGTGGCAATCATGACATTACTGCTGATGTAGATTTCTATCGAGAATACGGAGCTTACTTCCATAGCCAGAAAAGGGAAGACCCTGAGCAATGCATCGCCCTCCTCTCGTCACACTCGATTGTATACCTGAATCACGAGGCAAGACAGATATGGCTCACTCACGATGATGGTGCTGTAACTCCGTTGAAGATCTTCGGGTCGCCCTATTCCCCATCAAGAGGGTGCTGGGCTTTTGGTTATTCAGCCGAGGAAGCTTCCTGTCTGTGGGATCAGATTCCTCTGGACTCGGATATTGTGGTAACGCATACGCCAGCGAAATACCACCGAGATGAATGTAGCACGAGGGGAACGGCAGGATGCGAGATCCTCCGCCAGACACTATGGAGAGTCCGCCCACGCTTATTCGTCTGTGGACATATTCACGAAGCATATGGAGTCGAGGTGGTCGCGTGGGACTTGTCGTCTCCTAACGTGAAGTTCAGAGAGCAGGATGTCCGTTACTGGGAGGACTCTCACGCGGAGACTACGAAGCAATACGCTGTTGACCTGTCGTCTAGAGCAAAGTCACTGATGCTCAAGAATGATGGAAGCGTTGGACGCCTGGTGGGAAGTCGACAGCTAAATCGGCTTCGTGGGGCTGAAGGTGACGGCCCAGCGGACGACATATCACTTGACGAGGACACAGAAAACGAATCTATGCTTCTCAGCCTCCCGACTTCTGATCCGCAACCCTTTCCAGAGTTTGACAAAGCTCAGCGCCCGCCTTCACCGATGGCTGATCTGGGCAGCATCAAAGGTCTCTCGAATCGGGGCCAAGGTGGTCCGGGATCCAGCTCAAGATCCGATCAGGAAGCGATTTTGGGTCGTGAAGGTAGGCGGGAGACCTGCATCGTGAATGCTGCATACATGGCAACAAATTGGCCGCACAAGGCTGGCAAGAAGTTTCACAAGCCTATCGTCATTGTTATTGACCTACCAGTCGAGTATCCAACTTCGACCACGCAGTCGGGATAAACTGCAATTTCAACTTATATCTTTTCAACTCCACACCATTCCGCAATGAACAAGGCCATGGCTACCGTTGTTTTCTTTACACTTTCGATGCTCACCCATTCATCAAAGCCATGTACATCCGCACCAATCGGTCCATACACAAGCGCTGGAATCTTGTCGTACAAGCTGTGCACTCTAGCATCCAGATACGCAGTCGAAGTCTGAGTCGTGAGTTCGCTGCCTGTCGCCTGCTTATGAGCCTTGCGAAGAATGTTTTCCGCTTCAGTTCCCGGCTCCAGTGTATATCCTTCCGCAAAGAAACCGTTCCAGTTCACCTTGGGAGGGTTGTTGCCGAGGTATGGGTGCGTTGCAGCGTACGTTGCGACCTTCTTTTCAATTTCGTCGGCAGCGGATCTGGCCGTTGTGCCAGGAGTGATGGCAATACGGCAGTCAATTTTGCACCAAGCAGGCACCGAGCTTGCCCAATCGCCGGCATTGACTATTGCAATATTCAGATCTGTTTTGAAAATATCGTCAGCCACATTCAACTTAGTGTATGGTCTCGGTTAGGCGTGATTGTCGGTTCGAAAACAAGGCCTGAACTACCCAAATTCTCGTAACTCGAGCCTTCTTTGTTGGACATTGCACAGCGAAGCAGGATGCATGCTGACCACCGATGCATACCTGGGTGCAGACATTCTTTCGTGCATCGAGTACAGTGGAACTAGGATTACCTCTGTGGCGGCTGACCTCACACGGATCTAATATAGGCAACGAGAGGAGTGACTTACTCAGTGGATGCTTTTCCTCCTCGAAATACTTCGTCTTCACATGTCGCTGGTTCCATTCTGCTTCGAGCTCTCTCAATGCTCCAACCACTCCCCAGCATGCATCGACCGCATTCACGCCCGTTCCCATGGTCCTCACGTGCACCGGTCGACCGCGGACCTCGATTTGAAACCACAATACGCCAACATTCGCCCGCACAAGCTGCTCCTGTACGGGTTCCGGGATCAGCACGGCGTCGGCCTTGTAGCCCTTCAGATGTGTCATCATGGTGCCATTGCCTGTAGATTCCTCCTCGGGGACAGACTGGATAATGACTTCCGATGCAGGTTGAAGGCCAATCTTTCGGAGAGCGTCGAGCGCGAAGATGTTGCTTGCGTGGCCAGAGCGCATGTCGGCGGCACCACCTGATTGTGCGAAATGTCAGTCACCATCATCATCGGTTGTCATCTTGGACACGCAAACATCGCCAGACCTCAACGTGACATGTACTTTAATTGTTGATGGGGGGATTAATTTGGCCGGTCTATTGCAAGAGTTCAAGGACGCGGAAAGAGAAGGAGAACTGAGAAACCTACGGCCATAAAGCTTGTCGCCTTCAATCTTTGCACTGTACGGGTCGTCTGCCCACATGTCCACGGGCCCAAGGGGGACGACGTCGATGTGCCCGTTGAGGATCAGGCTCTTCCCGCCCTCACACTGGGACTTGGGCTTGTGGACGCCCACGACCACCGGGGCTCGACTGTGCGTCGGACTGAAGTTGCCCGCCCCCTCGTGCTTCCCCAGCTCGGACTCGTCCATGTCGAACTTGACGGGAGCGTAGCCGCGGGTGGCAAAGGCATCGAATACAAAGTCTTGCACAGCACCTTCTTCGCCGCGCTGCCCGCCGAACCTGATGAGTTGCTGCGTGTACGACAATTGGGCCTCGAAGTTGTCGTGGACCGACTGCGTTATCGCATTGATTTGGTCAGTCGTTAGAGACGGCATGATTTGGAACGATAGGTCTTGTAACGAGGATACACGCTGTCGAATAGTCTTGGTATGAGGTAGAGTAATAACTAACAGTGTACCTACCGACCTAAAGTAGAGGGTTATACTTCCTTCGTACAAACACTTCTTTATATCGTTTCGAAACCGGCCGATCTCCGCCATATGCAATGCCGCAATGTCAAAACCCACACGCACATCTCCATCTCCCTGGGAAGCGCCACGGCGCTTCTGTGTCTCATTGGACCCCCAAGGACCACAAATTGGCAAAGGTGGTTGTGGGCCTCCCATAAACTCGTAACTCACAAGGGTTTCTGTTGTATTAGTACGGAGTATATGGGCTCGTACTGTAGATAGCTTGTCCGAGCCCCGGGAAGGGAACTTTGGGATGTCTGGCTATCTGCTCAATTCGTCGTATCCGCGCGTGCTCAGTAAGCAGAAGGGCAGCCGTTGTAGGAGAAACGGGAATACGATTCAAATTTTTTTGGTTTTGATAGACTGTAGTTTTGCGTCCCATATATTGAGGGGACGACTTGAGCTTCTGGGTATCTGTTTTAAAAACCGAAAGAGCATTTCCATCGCCGTACCCTACTCCAACCACACGAATCCCTGACGTGTTGAAAACCAGATGACAAGTCCAAAAACCTCAGGGGATTGAACCGCATTATTACTCCATATCAGGGCTTTGTTCGCACTCATGCTTCCCCCTCACACAATATTGTGTACGCCAATGACCTTCCTGAACACCTCATAATTATCAGGCTTCACAAGAGCCGTGACGAGCGTGCAATGCAAAAGGAACACCTAGAACGAACCAAACTTGCACTTCTCAATCACCTTGCCTCGATCAGAGAAGAACCCGGCTTGTTGAATATGGGTCGGTTTTCCAGTCTTCTCGTCAAATACGTTGAAACCGTAGTGGGCTGCATGGGGAGGCGTGTACAGATGCAGAGATATAGCCACCTCGGTAAGTGACGGGTTGGAGATTTTGTGGACGCCAATCTTGTCTGAAATATATGTGACTTGATTCTCGTGATACAACGTCTCCTTGACAATTTGTGGCGGCGTGGCGGAACCGGAAGAACTGCAGTCACTGTCGCTTTGACCTGGCGGCACCGAATACAAGGTCTCCTTGAGATTGCCTTTGAGGACCTTCATGACGCAGTGCGCATCGGCATGATCGTGGATCGGACTAGATTTGCAAGGATTCCAGACAAGGAGCAGAAGGTTGGACTTGCCATTCCCTTCGTCCACAAGATTTCGAGTATAGTTTCGGCTTGGGTCGGAGAAGGCATACCGGCCCCAGTCGCCCTCCTGGGAGTCGTACTCCTCCATCAGCCGGATAAGGTCGTTCTCGTCAACATCTTCTGAGTTGATGCCCGACGATGGACCTAGGACGTCTGAGAGGGCACGGACGAGACGGTGAAAATCATTCGACGTATTGTCGCGGTGAGATTGCTGTGTTGCACAAGCTTTCGGCGGATATGCATCCACCAGTTGGTTCTCGTTGCTGATGGCGTGTGGTGGGTGGGCTAACATGTTTTGGAGGAGGCCGATGTATTATTGTGTTGAGAATGAGGATGAAAAAGAAAAGAGAGTGAGATGGGTATCTTAGAAAAAGAACAAGGAGAGATTGGGCGATTGAAATATATGTGGCCGTCCGAAGTAGGTCAAGTCAAGCAACCATGCGTCTGGCGGTGTGCGTCTTCTTGCCAGATAAGAAAACCTTCTTACCGGGATGTTACGCGAGGTGATTGTCTGCAGAACCTGTCAAGGCAGACACGAGCCTTCATGCAAGTAATGGAGGTTGAGGTTCAGGGTCGACGGCTAGGGATTCCAGAATGATCATGGCAAGAAGAGCGTTGCCTTCGACTTACACATTGACCCTTTCGTAGATACTTTATATGACGCTTGAAGCAGCTGACCTCGTACAGTACTTGTTGACTCAGGATGGCTGCAGCTGATCGATAGATGAAGGGCTGATCTGATCTGGTTTGATACTTGTTATTGGGTTGTCGGGGACCAGAATATCAAGACACCGAACGGAATGTAACGGATATTCGGGGTCTGGATGAATGATTGGCTTGGGCCAACGTGGCCTTTTCAATGAGTTGCGTAAAACATGCTCAGCGACGTAGACTATGACCTGACGTGTGCCTTCGTTTGTATAATGAATGGAATAGACTCAGATATGAAGGTAGAGAGGTGGGCAAATTCTGGTAAAAAGCAGTCGAATGTCGTACTATGGCAATGACTTGAACCAAAAAAATCCTAAGCGAGAAAATTCAGGTACGAATACGGGGAAGAACCACACAAATTGCAGCAAAGTCACATGACTTGCGATTACCTCATTGCTTTGCGGTATTTGGCGACTTGGGCGCAAGAACTCATAGGGAGACGCTCCGCCACGGCCCTACTAAGCGACCCTTATTAGGCGTCACCAACAGCTTTTGTCGCCTGTGGCTAGCGCCTAGGAGTACAAGGGCCTTGCACCGCGGGGCAAATACGAGTACTCATGATGGCGCCCACGAGAAACCTACTACACTAACGAAAGTCGGGCAACATTTTCCGTTTCCCTTCGTCATTCAATTCAACCACCAACAATCCAACACTCGTACACTTTCGTCTTCACGTCGCACAAAATTTCCCAAAGACTTGTTACACAGCGCTCGGCTATTTCACACATTTTCGACTTCTCAAACCCTCCCGCGCCTCACTTCGAATCCTTCCACGGAAAGTAATCGTAGTGGGCCATCTCTGGCTTCATCCCACGAAAAAAGAAGATCCTCGCCTGCCGTCTCCCTCCCTCCTCGGGCGCTCTCCCTAGCCTTGCTCCCTGAGCGGTAATTAGCCCCTTTCGGACGAAATGGCGACCACAGTAGACAAGATCAAGGATATTGAGGCCGAAATGGCCAAGACGCAGAAGAACAAAGCCACATCTTTTCATCTGGGCCAACTTAAGGCAAAATTGGCAAAGCTGAAGAGGGAACTGTTGACCCCTTCATCGTCAGGAGGAGGTGGTGGCAGCGGCTTCGATGTGGCCAGGACTGGCGTCGCTTCAGTCGGCTTCATTGGCTTTCCTTCTGTCGGTAAATCGACGCTCATGAGCCGTCTAACAGGGCAGCACTCTGAAGCGGCTGCATACGAATTCACCACCTTGACCACCGTTCCGGGCCAAGTCATGTACAACGGTGCAGCTATTCAAATGCTGGACTTGCCTGGTATCATCCAAGGAGCCAAGGATGGCAAGGGCCGGGGTCGTCAGGTCATTGCCGTGGCGAAAACCTGCCATCTGATCTTCATTGTCCTTGACGTGAATAAGCCTTTGACTGACAAGCGTGTCATTGAGAACGAGCTGGAAGGATTTGGCATTCGAATTAATAAGGAGCCGCCTAATATCGTCTTCAAGAAGAAGGATAAGGGCGGCCTCAACATCACCAACACAGTCCCTCTGACTCACATAGACCACGACGAGATCAAGGCCGTCATGAACGAGTACCGCATCAACTCGGCAGATATTGCGATTCGCTGTGACGCCACAATTGATGATTTGATTGATGTTCTGGAAGCCAAAAGCAGAAGTTACATACCCGTCATCTATGCTCTCAACAAGATTGACTCGATTTCAATTGAGGAGTTGGACCTCTTATACCGCATTCCGAATGCTTGTCCCATCAGTTCTGAACACGGCTGGAACATTGACGAGTTGCTTGAGTTGATGTGGGAAAAGCTTCAACTCAAACGAGTGTATACCAAGCCGAAGGGCAAGCAACCCGATTATTCTGCTCCGGTAGTTCTGAGGAGGAATGCTTCCACGGTCGAAGACTTTGTCAGTAATCTCCTGCCCGGTGAATTGGGCTCCCACTAACGTGCGCCAGTGCAACCAAATCCACAGGTCCATCCTTGAGCAATTCAAGCATGCCGTTGTTTATGGCCGCTCTGTGAAGCACCAACCTCAACGAGTGGGTCTGCAGCATGAATTGGCGGACGAAGACATCGGTAGGTCCCAGTCCCAGTCCCCTGCCCCCTTTCCTGCTTCATTAGCTGATCAGATTCCCAGTTACCATAATCAAAAAGTGATACACTGCGTCCGCCATGGTGCCTGCCTATGACCTGATATTGTCTTCGCTTCCTCTCACCCTTGACCAGGTTGAAGCTTGTATCAAGGCCTGAGACCCGTTTCCGCTCGATAAGGCTAGATGTCTCGCCTTCCGCCCATCCCCGCCGGCCGGATCTCGACTTCCTAGCCGTCGCTAGTGATCAGCGCCTGGGTCTACCCAGCTATCAATGTATCTATTGTACTAACGGATCCAGGCTCCAAAGGCGCGAGCTCGGAAAGGCCAGGCCCTTTGCTAGTCTCTCGCAGGCCCAACTTTGACCATCTCTCCACGCTGCTTCTTCGGTCAGAAAGTCAAATGCCTTGGGATCTGGATCTGCACACTCCTGCAGCGACCGGGAAATGGCACTTTTCAGGGCCAGTCAACCCATAGACGGGCGGTGATGTTGAGGCAAAAGTACAAGGAGTTGAAACAAAGTTGTAGCTGGATCCGAAAGTCAAACAGGATAGCGTAGGTTGGTGGCGGCCATCCTCGGCTGATTCCAGGAGGCTATGGAGATGGCCAGAGTATGAGAAGAGCCTCAGAAGCATTAGCACCAAACAAACCGATACATGCTGGGCTAGAGAAGGCCTCCTTGAGGTTTGCGGATAGCTGCATGCACTCCGAACGCCTTCATGCTGGTCAACAGAAGCCAAATTGCCTTAGCAAGCCTAGTCCGTGTATTCACAAGCTCACTTCATGCAAGTCTGAGACCGCAGCGACCCTGACCGGAGCGACAGCCAGTTTGGGGGATTTTTCAAGAGATTGAGACAGTCATTGGTGGCCGTGAGGCACAGTTCAATAAACTCCGTAAAGGCTGCACAACGTTCTGCGGGCTTGCCCTCATGCAGCCACGGTGCATGGATCTCCTGTGCATTCCTTGTACCTGCAGGTGTCAAACTCGTGGGCTGACGAGACTGGGGTTTTGACATATCCATCCCCCGACTACTGCTCCTTGTCTGTGCATGCGCAACTTCACTCTGCATCAGGAGTAAGGTGGCTTGGGCACATCCCAAAGCCACATTTGGCATGCGCTACTGGGAGGCACTGAAGACAACACATCCTGGTCCCGGCTGTTCGCCCAAAGCCCCGCCACCTGGTCCACAAGACACCTTCCCCGTAGCCGCCCGGACAATAGTCTTCACGTTCTCACGCTCCGAGCCGCGCGCGGGCTATGGAGAAGGCGATTTTGAGTCTTACGGGTGCTTCTAGCATCATTACAGCACCATTGTTGCTAATATCGAGCAGGAGCTGGGGATATTGAGAAGATTTTTCGTGTTGGCTTTCGGCTTGGCTCAGATGGTGTGAGGGGATGGAGAGAGTATGTGTGTGTGTGTATACTCCGTAGCCGTACGTCTGTGTCGATTAGCACACGGGAAGACAGGGTTGCAGATGAGCTCAGTGAGATATCCACTCAATTCACTATCCCATGCTCACGTTGGGCAGAAATTGAGGAGTCACTGGGACTAGCAGTAGACAATAGCAGGGAATACGCAGTAGGCGAGCGAACATTGCTGGATACGATACACAATATTTGAGGGGGGTCGAATGGCAAGTGGCTGGTTGCGCGGTTTGTGGAGAAAGAATGCAAGATCCCTCGCTCCCACTTCCAATGAATTTCCCTTCTCACTCTTTTCTTCCTCGTCAACGGAGGCGACTAGGCACTGATAATTGAGAATTTCACTCCCTGTTCTCTGTGAGCGACGAATTGTTACGCCATGCTCCAGTATCTGCTGCAGTGGCTTCTCTAGCTTCGAGCTTGCCGACCTCGCTGCCTCTCGGACTGGACTTTCTCACGAGAGACAGGGTCACTTGGGCCATGAGCAGGTCATTTTTGGCCCTCTCGTCTTATGATTTGCCTATCGTCCATGGGTTTGGCGCCGAGGCCTTCCATCGGGCCATTCACGCCCAAAGAATGCGTTTCAAGCTGCTCGTTGGTCCTCCTCATGCTCTCCACCAAGGTGCTGATAACGCCAGATTCGGGGGAAACGCCTTTCACCTTTTGACTAGGTGGCTGCCCCAAAACGGTGCCTGGCGAGAAGGCCAGAGCGACTAGAGCATAATGGGAAGCACGTCGCCTTGAGCACCTCATCTCACTTTCCTTCCTCATCACTGACGCCGAGTCAGCCAGTGTCAACCTGCTTCCGGCGACCCACGCATCGGTTGCACAAGCATGTTGGATTGGCATTGTTCAAGGACTGGTCTACTGTACGGCACGGTTGTGGTCCCCCCCCCCCACGAGGTCAATAATACCGCCCTTGACTACGAACCGTATCGTCATGTTCGTCAGGCGGTCCTCGTACGGTACAATACATTATCTTCGAGGCGCGTCCAGTCAAGTACCACTCGGTGCCCCCGGTCCTCCGCTTTACGACACCAAGGTCACTCTCTTCCAAGTAAGACGTCTCCATCAGAGGCTGGCCATGCGATTGAGTACTTGGACGATCTGTGGGCCGAATGATCGCTGTGGTCCTTAGATCACCCGCGTCATTGCTTCGGCTACGGACGGTCCGTCGAAAGGCTAGACACCCGCTCGAGGCGTGCACAGGCTATAGCTGGCCTTTATCAGCTCGCCCGAAGAAATGCTTAAACGTTTCCTCTGGCATTGCATTGTCATTCGATGCGCTTTCGTCGCACTTCCTTTCCATGTCGCATGGGGCACTATTGGAAACCGCAAGTACGAGTGCGAGTTAACCCTAACGCAGAATGATGAAGCCCAGGAAGAGGTGAACAGGGGTTTACACAAAACGGCAGCTCTTAACATTTGAATAGGCGCCCTCGCTCACTGCTCCTTAACATTTTACTTTCCCTTTTTGTTTCAAATTGCCTCGCCACCACTGCTGGGATTTGCGACCTGCTTTAAGGAATCTACTATACCTGGGGACCAATATCCGGTCCACTACATGACGCCCGACCGAAGGTGCTTATCCCCAATCTCTACTGCAAGCATTCGAGTTCCGGTGATACTTGGTGGCTGTCCAGGGAGCAATTGTTTAGCGGGTCCTGATCGCAAGGAGGAATAAACAGGACAAGCATCGCTATCCGACCTATTTACTGTACTGTCCATACCTCCCGGACGAACATCATTACTTGAGCTAACCGAGATCCCCTTAGGCCCGTTCCTTCAAGGTGCCGCCCGCTAGCCTTCCCTAAGCCTCCCGCTTTATAGGCCGTGGTGCCGCCCACCGTGTTAGCACCCACACCTCACGATTGAGAAAGCTCTCCTTGTCTATTGTACAAATTGTATTCATCAAGACAGGCACGCCTTCATATGTGAAGTGACATATTGTTGGAGTGACTGTTGACCTAAGAGAGACGGAATAGCAGAATCGCACCCTTCGCAACCTCTCTCCCGTTCGAGCTGTCGGGTTTGACCAAACACGACGTACCCTGTACAGAAACCCTGCCGACTTTCTGCAGCCTAAGGAGGCACCCCTCACACACATAAAGCGAGCCCTGTCGCTTTCCCTTTTGGCTCTTGTTCAGGCCCTAGTTCAGCACATACCCTAGTCCGACGCTCTCGCCGTCAAGTCACCCCCCGGTGCTTGTGCTTCGATCAGAACGGCCGGTTCTCATCCCACACTCATAGCACCTCCACAGCGCCCACCATCAAGACGACCTCCCTCTTTCATATGCTTCTGGTTTTCTCACCAAGTAAGCTAGTGTTGGGATAGTCCTGGCACCTTTGCCTCTTCCTCGTCCTAACATTTTCTCGTTGCTCTATTGTCTGGACTCTTGAACACATCTCGCATTCAGGTGCTTGTGTGGACTTGACGGATACCTGCATGTGCGTGCAACGACACTGGTCCACTGGCATGCATCGTCATAGCAGTATATCAGGTTAACCATCAAAGCACGCTTAAAAGGCTTGAGCGCCAATGCAGGCCTTGATGATCATGCCGCCAGAGCAACAGGACTCTCAAGCATCTGGCTACGACCAGAATGGGTGGATGAGCCTCCCTAGCTCTTACTCTACGAGCCCTCAAACATCGGTGTCACCAATGCAAGAGCTGTCATCATTCGATTATCAGACACCAAATCCAATGCCTTTGGAGCCGTCGTACACTATGCATCGGCCTTCGCCGTTCGCTGCGTCTCAACCTCAAATGCTACCACCTTTGATGACAGCACATAATGGACTGTGGCCCAGCATGTTGGCGAGCCAGCAGCCACCACCATCTTACCATACACCAGTGGGAACGTCTGGATCTCTGCAAACGCCGTTGTCTGCAAGCACGGCATCGGATGCCACTCCAACAAGCGCCAAAACCAACACTTCGAGGCGCAAGCTGACGGACGACGAACGCCGTCAGATGTGTATCGAAGCGGAGCAAAATCCAAGTATGAAACAGACACAAATTGGAGGTATGTGACCCTCGCTTAATCCAGGGTTTTCTCTGATCTTTGATAGCCAAATTCAATGTCGAGAGGAGGTACGCTTGTGAAGTCGAATCTGTCGAAGTATCTACTGATATGCAATAGCACCGTGTCAAAGATTCTGCGACAGCGGGAGAGATACATGAACCCCCAATCCAAGGAAGAAAGCACGAGCCCTAGTGTAAAGAAGTCGAAGGCAAAGCTCCCAGACTTTGAAAAAACATTGACGAACTGGGTCAAGAAGCAGCAAATCAAAGGAACGCCCATCACGGATGAAGACCTTCGCAAACAAGTGAAGGTATTTTCATTCAGCAGAAGCGATCAGGCCGTAGTATCCAGTGCCGCGTGGCTGGAGGCTTTCAAACGCAAAAATCATCTAGTTTCCAGCCAGAGAGCCGATTGTGAGCTCACCTTAATTGATTCCAGCACAACGTCCTTGTCGCATACACCTGCAGATGAATCTCCAACATCATCAAACGGACTGGTTTCGCCTGCAATGTCCACAATTGATGAACTGCGCCTCAAAAGGGAAGATACACATGAATTTTTCGACTTCGACACAGGAAAGGACTCTCATGATCATTCACCATACATGGACCACGACTTAGGAGAACCGGCCCTGAGAAACTTGCTGTCTCCCCTCTCTCCGGAATTATCGCAGGCAGACCCAGACGGATTTTCCATGATGGAAGCCATGTCCGACAACAGGAGCAATTCAAGCCGCCAGAGGAGCCAGACCTTTTCTCACGTCCCCGATATTGGTGTTGAGTCACGCCCCTCGTCGTCTTCAGGTAAAGCTCCGTCCCTGCCGGTGCGATCATTGAGCTCTACATGTGACAGCGGGCTATCTGGTATCGACCCACGACAGATGATGAAAAGACATAAGAGCGTGCCTGATATACACTATCCTGAGCAAGCACGCTTCTCACCAATGCCCCCACCGCCACTACCTAAATCCGCAGATACGTCCCCGGTTAGTCATCCTGCATCTCCCGCTGAAGATGACAACATTCGGGCCCTCCATGCAATCAAGGCACTTTTGGAACAGCATCCTAACGTTGCTGAGCCAGATGACTACTTGGCAATTGGCAAATTGATGGAGAAATTGAAGCTGCTGCGATCTCCATCCAACACGTTACTCCCGGGCGGCTTGCATCCTATGGACATCATGGACAGCCCACGTATCTCGAAGAAAAGGACCATCCTCGGGATCTCTACTTGAGCCAGGACTACATGTTCAGGTTTCTCACCATCTTTTGATACGTTTCTTGTGACATTCCTTTGAACATCAATCAGTATCGGCATACAATCACTGTTTTTAACGCAAACCACAATTGGACATTCCTTTCGACATGAGCGAGGAGCACTAGGTGAGATGGGAACACAGACACACAAGCAAGTATGGTACCTCAGCAAGACCAACGATCCAGCGCAATGTCCCGGACCATGGGCTGCATAGCAGGATCCAGGAGTAGTATGTTTTTTTTGTTTTTTTTAACCAAAGTCCCACGACACCAGCCTGACAGGTGAATGAGAGCGGCTGGCTCTACGAAAATCTCTATTCTGGCCACGGAAATAATCTGCGCGTGCAGATGATGACACCCTTAGACACACCCCAAGCCTCACCGCAAATCTCCCATTTTCATCTCATGAGGGCATGTTTGCATAGGAAGAAAGAGATGATGAGCGCAAGCGAGCAAGCGAAGTGGTTCCACCGGTGAACTTATTCTATTTCGGTTTTTTGTCCCTTTGAACGCGTGGCGGGGAGCTACGCTGTTGTGTAGGATATGATGGCTTTTCCTTCTCTTTATCTGTGCGGAATGGATGGGGCGGGGAATGGGTATTCTGAGGGAAGCACACTCGATGGAAAGGAACAGAATCGAAGGATATTGTAGTTGAAGAGGGCACGAGTATATAGTTTCATTTCTATTTCTCTCTCTCCCTCTTTTTAGCAAAGATATCTTGATGAACGAGATAGCCATTGTTGTGTATGTATTAAGCAACTTGATACCAATAGTATGATGGAGAATAAGATACTGAGAGAGGCACACTCAGATCCCTGTGGTTCTGCGGTGATCTCGAATTGTACCAGCGCAGTCGGCAGAGACGAGAGGGCATGGTTTTTGACAGCGTCTAGATGACTTCGGCCAAAAGAACTCTGCAGAAGTGTCTTCAATGACGAGGCGAGACATGAGGCGTAGATCTCGTCGATCACAGACCCTTCTGAGCAAGAGTGTGTCCGGGGTTGAGCAAAAAGTGAGGCTGCACAGAAACAGTGCGACAATGGTCATTGGGTGGAATATTTCTGTATACTGAACGTCCCTGCCGATCCGCAACGAAATTGTTTTCAGCCAACACCAACAACGGGTAAAGGTTTCCTGTCCAACAAAGTTTTTTGCTATCCTGCCCTCCTCGTCGTCTTCTTGTCCATCATCTCAATTTATTCCCAGGCTACTCCGTACCCTACACCCTTGCTCTTTTTTCACACACCCCCTAATCCACACCTCCCTCTCGGAAAGGGCTTCAATAACCGAGAGGATCCGCGGCACCGACTTGGGCTGACGCGGAGTTTCAGCCCGTCACGAGTGAGAGAGGAAGAGAGAGGGTGAGTCCAATAGAACCACGTACTGTGTTCGGAGTGTGCGAGTTTGCCCTTTGAGATTGAGGCATCGTCCTTTTCTCCTTCTCCTCTCCTTGCAAATTTTACCCTTACGAGGGGATTCACTGCGGACCCCCCCTGACCGGATCGTCGGACTATGAGCGCCGTTGTCAATGGTGTGGCTCCGTGATACTACAATCAAAATGCTTTTCCCTTCTCTTTCTCTATCACCAGGTGTGGAAAGACACATTCTTAGGAGTCGAGCGGGTTGATTGATTGCCACGCTCTTTACTCCGTATACCCTAGACCCTGCTTTTCATGGCCACCGTGGCCCAGTCTCTAGCCGCATGCTCTACCTACCACTCGTGGGCCTAGATGACCTTCTTCTCAAGCCATTCCTAACCGTCTGTGGGCCCTTGTACCGTGGCTAGGAGGGAATACCGGCATCCCCTTCCGCTGCGCCTCTAGAGCATTTAGAAGAGCCGGGGATGGGACGGGGAAAGAGATAGTGTGGAAAGTGGTGCGCTGATGTGCAGGACACTCGCAGCAAGATATTCCTCTCTTCGATTGATCACTACTACGCAGAGCTCAAAGATTCCAATCTGGATGCGTCGTCCGGACCCCTTGTCGATGAATATCCTCTTTGAACTCGCATGACAATCTCCAGTTGAGAGCAGGGGAATACGATGCAGCAAACTGCCCTGCAATGAAGATCTTGGTGGGCTGCAGATAATACAGAGCAGACCTCTGCCTTTCACACAACACATTTCTTGACATCGAGGCGAAGCTGAGTCCGCCGAGTACGAGCCGTGCGGCCTAAACACCTGGGTCCACATTGTCCGTTCTGATGCTCTAGCCTTTGCCACTACGAAGTATCAAGCATCAAGATGCAGGAAAAGGCGAAAAGAGATGCACATAACACAACCCAGTCAAGGGTCACTACTCGGCGAATGTCTCTAGATGGCATTTTCTCCACGGTCCTTGACGAGGCGAGACGGCTTCGAGCATCCGGTCCGTCCATGCGGCGATGTATTGTTAGTTGACCTCTAAGCCATAACAGTGCATTCATCGGACCAGAGTCAAGCCATTTTTGTGGTCCGGACTAGGTAAACGAATGTGTCAACTTTCATTGTTCCCATCCCACTGTACTCCGTACCCCGTATCGAGGAGACTTCGATACAGAAGCGAAACACAATTTCTCACATTCCGACAGGAATATCGTAAGATTACTTTTGGGCATCAATGCAGCTGCAGCTGTTACTGTTGCATCACTAGTAGACAATATTGAACTGGATCCTTTTGGAGGTCCTGTCTAGAAGTGACCAGGATGCCAGGACATGCAGAAATTGACATTGACATTCTAGACATCAGAGTCTAGACCGACATACGGAGTATTTCTCTTTGTATGTAGATGGACAGAGGATACTCCGTAACTCGTACTCGTTCACTCGTTGATCTCGTAGATTGATTGATCAGAAAGTGTCACTGTTTAACTCTGTACGGACCTGGTCAAGGAGTAGTTTTGTTGTGCTCGGTACTCGAGTCCACATCAATGTAGCCTCGTGTGGGCATTTTCGTGTTAGTAACATTGGCTTATCTTCAGTCGCCAAAAGCCATTTCAGGCCCTCTTTGTAGAACAGGAGAGAGAGAGAGAGAGAAGGATTCTAGAAGGAGAAAAGGGGGATGTCGAGGAAGTTGACCTGACCTGACCTGACCTACATGGCCTGTTTGTGTGTCCATTGGCCCACTCAATGTCGTCTCGAGATGATCATTCTCCTTCTCTTTCTTCTGATTGATATCGCTGTCTATTTTGTCACTCTGTCACTTTTTACCTCGATACATATTTATAAATGTCATTCTTTTCTACTCTGTTTTGCTTCTCGTCAAGTGTCTTCTCGGCCTTGTCATGTTTCGTGGGATACTGAACACGATCACGACAAACGAAATACTTCTCTCTCTCACACATACGCGCGCGCGCTCCTGTTTCCGGGTCCACCCTTTTTGAAAGGGCGAATTCTAAAGACTTTCTACTTCTTTACTCCATAACCTTGACCTGACATGACCATCCTTGACACATGCAAAAACACCCATCACGCGACATGTTTGGTACCCGGGAGAGAGGGAGAGAGAGGGAGAGAGAGGGAGAGAGAGAGAGAGAGAGAGAGAGAGAGAGAGAGAGAGAGAGAGAGAGAGAGAGAGAGAGAGAAAGCAAGGAGATGAAGAAAAGGATGGAAAACCACGTGGACCCACGCATGGGAACTCGAGATCCAAAAAAGCACAAAACATTCCTTGGTCCATTTTCAGCCTCGACGGATGGCATCCTACCGCGACGAGGGTGGCCCGGGGCCAATGGTCCTCCTGTCCGTGTCCTCCTGTCCGAGTGTCTGAGTGTGCTTCGTCTGTCTGTGTGCGCGTGAGAAAGAAATCAAACCAGAGAGACAGACCAAAAAAAAACGAGTTTCGTCAGGCGACTATTACCTACCCTGTGGAAGATTTTTCACACGTCCCATGGAAGTCCAATCAGCATACCCTCGTATTGGTTTTTTGGGGTTGTGTAACGTCGGACAGGGCAAAGACTTTTCCCTGTTTGAATCGACCAAGGCAATTCTTCTTCTTTTGGCCTTCCGAGTAACCAAACCCCTACCTAGGCTTTGACTTTTGTCGTGTGGCATTCTCGATGCTCGTCCCATCTGGAATCTTGGGGTCTGGGGGGAAAATACGGCAGAGACCATCCGTACCGGCTTGCAACGAGCCTTTCGAGATACGACCTTTACTTGTTTCCCCCCGATCAATATGGGAACAAAGAAACGGCAAACCCACGGGGCCGTGGTGGCCCCCCTACCCGATCCACCTGGATGGACCACAAGGTACCCAAACCCCCTTTTTCGGGTTTTGTACCGTGTGGATGTTTCACCCGGAAGGGTCGAGCTGTTGGTGTGTTGTTTTCCTGGTCGGCACAGCTGTCTTCCTACGATCCGTACCCCTCGCATGACGGTCGGACCCTGGAACTCACAAAATTGCAGAGGGAGACAAAAGAGGCGGCGGCGGCGGCAGCAGTAGCAGCAGTAGAAGCAGCAGAAGCAGCAGACACGTACAGAGGAAGACGTGAAGTACATACACATGGAGGCATCATCTTCAGAGAGGCATTTTCACCTTCACGCAGTGTACAAGACAAAACGATGACCTCGTCACCGTCTTGAGATGCCAAAGAAAACCCAAAACTGTACGCTGTACTTTCAAATATGGTCGAATAAAATGATATATTGTGACACATTCAAGAACATTCGAATGCCGTTCCATCATATCCGTGGTGAGGGCAAATGTCATGTGTCCTCACTTGTAATTCAAGTCACATCTTTCCATTACGCTCAATGTCCACCAAAACCATCTCCTCATCATCGAGTACAATACCTCTGTCGGCCAAGATTTCACTGGGGGTCTTTCCTTCCATTTCCGGCACCAGTCTGAGTATGATATGCTCCAAGATTGAGTAAATCAAGTGCTTGTTCAAATGTACATCATTTGTCCAACACAAAATACTATCCTCAACCTCTGTACTCATTGCCTCTTGTATCTCCTGTTCATCTCCACCAGAGGCAGCAAAGAGCTTCCGAGCTACAGGTTGGGGAAAAAGAGAAAGAATGCCTCTGGCAGCTCTTGACCGGATGAATTTCGCCTCTTCGACGGATGGAGGTGGAGGGGCTGGAGGACCAATTGAGTTATTCGGAAAGAGGGTTGCTCGCACTTGAAGCAGCAATGGTGGGAGAAGGGATGGCGAGAGAACGCGACTTGACAAGTTATGATATAGAAACCTGCGAGTAGTGTCATATGTTAGCCAAAGCTCTTTTGATTCCAGATGACAGCGTTTAAAATGGATTATAGTTGAGACTTCAAGGGTGCTGCGGAATGTTTTCGTTTGCAGAGTATCAAGAGATCACTGGCTTCCATGGACGGTGTATTTTCACATTTCCGGCCTTTCAAGGAATGGCATAAGGCTGCGCTGCCTAGGATCACCACACAGAAATTTCGCATTCTAGACCGCTGAGTGATTCCTCATCGCCTTCATGAGCCTTCAGACTCAATGACAGTCAACGAAATGTCAAAGAATCGCACGTGACCAAGGTCAGCGACTTGATAAGACCAAATAAGGCAATGGCATTTAGGAGGTCGTCTGGAATGCAAAAGATCACAAATGAGACAACATGCGGCGCTTCCACGAGCATGTGTTCATTCGACTGGTGGTGAGGCGGCTCTTTGCGCGAATGTGAAATTGAGAGCAACGCGGCCTGGAAAGCCATCCAAGACTGCCCTAAATTGTCGAGTTGCATTCTTAAACCCCAGGGTCCCGCATCTCACCCTTACTTGGTTTGCAAATGCAGCTTTGCCCAACAGGACTGAAGAATTGAGATGATCATGTTTCCAGGGATCAAGGTCTATTAGACCTGGGAAAAGCCAAAATTTCCACGGAAAATCAGGGATGTGGTGTGAAAAGTCCACTTTGAAGACAAACAACGAATTAATTCATTTCTCGAAGCGCCACTTGCGAGAACATAAGTTTGGAGTTGAAGATGGTTGCAGCGGTGTGCGGGAAATCATGCCCAAGCCGAAGTAGGCAGGTTCGTTAGGCCGTCGGAGTTGGCGTCTGGACCAAGTCATCTGAGGATGACCTACCTGAGTAGCACAAGGACTCCGTCTGTGGCGTCTGAGTAGTGATGGCGTGTCAACTGACTCAAAAATAATATTGCCGTACAAGCATGGATAACAATATCATCTTTGACCAACCTCTTGGTAGTTTTGTGACGTAAAGATAATGTGTACACGGCCCATTATCTCGAGGTCTCACAACTTCCTTCCCTTTATCGGTCGTCGCCGAAGTAGCCGACGGTGATTGCTCACGCGGTGGGGGAGTGATTGCCGCAACAGGGGAGTAAGGGCTCAATCTTCAGTCAGGATCGGCGACCAATAATGCGGTAGACTCGGTCGAATTTCCAAGAAAAGCCCTCGCAAGCCACTTTCATTGGCTCGCACCGAAGGATAGTTGCTTCATGTTGAGGCTTTTTGGCCGGTTTGGGTCTTTTTCCTGGTGGATATTGACGTAGAAGGGATCCATGCCACTGAACGACGAGCAGCATGGTCCAGTGATCATTGGCTGAAGGCTGATCCCATGATGCGCGGACACAAGAAAATTGAAGACTCCATATCTGAATGGAGACGAGGACACGAGGGCGGGGCCGACCCAGTTGCCTCCGGGTATGAGCGTCTTTGACAGCTGCTCGAGAAGGCGTGGAAAAGCTCCAGAAGATAAATTGCTGATTGGCCAGATTTAGACCTTTTATTCATCTTTTTGGCCGACGAAGTCGACGTCCTATAGCCGATCACCGTGAAAATGGATCTCAGATATTGGACATCCCACGGCGAATCGACGTCAGAAGTCGACAACATCTCTTTTGACAAGTCCGCCTTGACGGGAAGCATTGGGGGCGTGACCACGATGGTCGGGGTTGGGAGTACAACCCAGTCGGAACAGGTAAAGTGCAGAAAGTAGTCGATCCAATCACAAGTCGTAACGGTCAGGCTGACAATACAAGTCTCTTACGCTGTCATGACACGTAACAGAGTCATTGGCCGATGACGGTATCATGGTATTTCAGGTCCACCATGTACACCCTCCTGATTCAAAGATGGCCTGACCAGTCCAAGTAGCGAAGTAGGCACATGCCTGAAACATGGCTGATAGTAGGCGTCATTGGGTGGAAAGTCGCAAGTTGTATCAGATGACCATCGGTCCATGCGAATCCATTCATAAAAAGGCCGTCGTGTTTCGAGCAAATCCTCGAGAAGATGGGCATGGGGAGCAGTTTATGGCCAGCAAAATGTGCGAGGGAAATCTCAACAAGGAAAAACATATCACTTACTTGTCCAAGGTCGAACTTGCAGAACCGTAGCCACCAAGACCATCGACCAGGATGTGCTGCCAGAAACTCAATGAAGCCGCCAGCCACGGCATGCGAATCGACAAATCCAGAATGGTAGAAATGCATGAGAATACCCTGTAATCAAGGATGGCGCGGGTGCCAGAGCCGTCGGGGTCCGGTTTGCCGTGCACTGATGAGGGAGAGTTTCCTTTCGACGGCGACGGTGCAGCCGTCGTGTCCACGCCGCGAGAACGGACCCTTGTAGGCAGCGTCTGCGCATGTGCCATGCCGACGAGGATGAATCGCATGGACTGATATGCGACGAAGGCGTACTGTAACAGTGTCCAGAACCAGGCGCTAAGCAATGATTGGCTTCGGTTTGACGAATGACCCTTTTGATGCGCTTTGTTAGCAGTTAATAGGCCAAATTGCTCAAGACGGCTTTGTCGTCCTTGTTGTTGGAGGATTGCCTTGTTGGCGGCGGCCTTTGAAGGGGCCGATGTCACGATCTCCACAACCTTGGAGACAGCTCCATGTAAAAACCATGGCTGACAGACTCTCTCTGCCAGTGCTTGTCCAAGGATGAGGTCCGCAATGATATCCGTCACCAGAGTTCTGAGACAAGCGTTGGCCAGGTCCTCCGTAGGCAGAAGCACGGCAAGAGCCCCCTGAATCAGCAGTTGTCGGTAGGCTGACTCGCGAAGGCGTTGCTCCTCGGCGGTGAGCGAAAGGTCGAGCGCTGGATGCGGATTGAGAGAGTGGTAGATTCGGCGAGGGCTTTCTCCATACTGCAGCGCGGCCTGGGCCGTTGTAGATATTCTGTATGCTATTCTTGACCGTCAACATAGAACTCCAAGTCACACTCTTTCTCTGACGTTCACGTACCGTGTATATGTCGTTCAACCAGCACCGGCAGCTCATCCAGTAACATCTCTGTCACGTCAATCTGCCGGACCCTTTGTTCGAGCGCCCGGCTGCAGTGTGCAATGATCTGGATGACCTCATCTATGAAAGTACGATCCGGGGTTATCTTCGAGTACCAAGAGTTGACAAAGTCCTTGATGATGATTGCCACGATGGCATAAAGCTGGACGTCGACTTCATTTGAGCTAGTAAGTGGAGGTAAGATTCCTTCAATCGGTCTCGGTGATGCTCTTGGATCTGCTCCGTGACTTCCATCCGTCACCAAGGTTCTTCTGATCAGGGACAATGTGGCGCTTTCTGAGGTAGGGTCTTGGATCGGGACATCCCGACGGGTCGCAGGAGGAACACGAGAGGAAGCGCGAGGTGCTGAAGAAGAGGTCTTGCTGCCCGCTACTGCGCTCAGTTGCGACAATGAGGCTGTAGAGGACGACTTTGTGGATATGTTGGGCGGCAACGGTGGTCTCGACGGCGAGGTAGCGGTCATTTCAGGACCACGAGGTGGAGGAGCATTTCGGCAGGTCTTTGTAGTCTGTCGTTCGACGTCTCCCTCTGCCACGCTGGCGATGCAGGGGGCAGCGAAAGATTCTCACCGGTTTGGTCAAGCACGAGACGAGTCGAGCGGTGTGTCAACGTATGATTGGCCTATGTTGGAATTCCTCAAGGCTGCGTGCAATGAACGATGTCGACGAGTCGGAGTTGGAGATGCGCGCCGGATTTCCATCGCTGGACCTTCCGTTTTTGTCTGCTATGTGGTATCGATAACGCGTCTTCAGCACAGTGTCTTCCAAAGCTGGGAAGATGCTTCAACAGATGCTCATTGTATCCATGTTATATGTCTTGAGATATTCCCAAAGTACCATCAGAATATATAAGCTTGATCATGTCATCTCCAAAGATCCCATTGTGGGTAGATTGCGACCCAGGTAGGTTTTGATATCAACCATCCCACAACCACCCTCCTTTTGGCTTACTCATGTCCTGGCGACAGGTCATGATGTGAGTTTTTCTTGCTCAAAAACTGCATATTACGGTGCTCACATCCTCAGGATGCATGTGCCATCTTGATCGCAGCATACCACCCATGCTTCGAACTCCTGGGCGTATCGACCGTTCACGGTAATGCCTCACTTCAAAAGTGCACAAACAATGCCCTCAGCGTCCTCGAGGCCATAGGCAAACCCGAGATACCCGTCGTGCCAGGATCCTCTCGGCCTTTCTGCCGCACAGTCGATACGGCATCTGACATCCACGGAGAAAGCGGCCTGGCCGGAACATCTCTACTTCCTCAACCATCACGACTGCCACTCTCGCATTGCAATGCTGTCAAAGAGATGCGAGACGCTCTCCTCGCACAACCCAAGAACACATCATATCTAGTCACTTGTGGTCCGCTCACAAATGCGGCACTTCTTTTCGCGACGTTTCCCGAGGTTGCAGAGCACATCGCTGGGTTCTCGGCCATGGGCGGCGCAATCGGCTCCAACTTCACAAATGTATCCATGGGCCCACCGTATTTGGATTCCCGAGGCGTCTCTCGCGACCGGACTGGCAACAAGACGCCATTTGCCGAGTTCAACATCTGGGTAGATCCAGAATCAGCCCGATCTATACTTCAAAACCCCGTCCTGCAACCCAAGACGACATTGATCACGTTGGACCTCACACACCAAGCCTACGCCACTCGCAGGGTTCAAAACATGCTTCTCAACCACGGTAACCCGTCACAGCTACGAGTAATGTTCAACGAGCTCCTGATGTTCTTCGCTCAAACCTATGCGGAAGTATTCGGCCTGACCGAAGGACCTCCCCTGCACGATCCTCTCGCCGTGGCCGTTTTACTGGACCGTCATCCTGACGAAGACGTAAGGATATCATTTGACGACCAAGGTGGCGAGAGATGGGACGTGGACGTCATCCTGGAAGGTGAACAGATTGGCCGTACCACCATCACGAAAGCGTCGTCCGGTCATGGTGTGCGGATACCCAGATCCCTCGATGCCGATAAATTCTGGCATGCGCTGGAACTTTGCATGAACAGAGCGGACCAGGCCACAGGCTTTGGGAGGGGCAAAAGCGCCCCTAACAACTAAAATGTCCATCTCGTTTTAGATATCTTATCGACATATTCGTTATTTACGTGGGATATGGAGGTGAAAAGTAACTTGGATATGAAAGACATAGACTCGCTCCCAATTCATTTCATATTGATCGAGAAACTCTGTGTCGCTGTAACAAGTTGAACTAGCACCCCCGGAAGCATGACAGAATAGGGGAGGCTCCGGAGTCCTCAGGCCGATCGACAGGACTTGCCGTCGAGGTTATGCAGTGGCTTGCGTAAGACCGTGCACAAGCCATGGCCACAGTATATATGCCCTGTTGTTCCTCTTGCTCAGAGAGCGAGAAGGCATTTCAACTGAAGAGTTGACGCTAAGTGAGATTTTGGGTCATTTGTGTAGATGTTCACTCCCCTCCGTTGTCGAGGTCGTCCGAACGAGGTTGGCATGTCAGCCTTGCAGAAAAACAATTCCCGGTCAGAATCGATTGAACAAGTGAATGTGTAACCCCAACAAATCACACCAAGATCCCTTCGGTGATGGCTCAAGTTAAAAACCACGCTGGCTTAATATGGCGGGGGGCCGACTAAATAGAAAGAGCACGGAAAAAAGCAACAGAGTATAATCTCCCCGCCTTCTTCTTCGATTCGGTGCCAGAAGTCTGCCCCGTGATGTTGAGAGAGAGACATTGTCCGAGATGGCCGTAGTTTAACACTTCAAAAGGTCAATTGAGAGTACGCTCGTGTCTTCATGGTACAGAAGTCTGCACCTCCATGCAGTTCCAGGAGTAGTCGCCACCGTTCTTGGTCCAATTGCCCAATGCCACAGTGATGTCGTGCCTGAGTTTGATCTGATCATCTCGCAGGTGTGTGGACTTTGCTGCCGCATAGGTTTCGGCTGACAATGATCGACACAGGTCATTGGCCCATGCATCACGATGTACCTTGTCCAACCTGTCTTCGTCTCGAATGAGATCGAGCATGCTGCACGCGAGTTGCCATAGCTTGCATCGAGACACAACGCTAGCTTTCGCCGGCCTCAGATCCCACTGTTTAAAGCCTGACTTGACGCCGTTCATGAGTACCTCGACGACGTCGGCTGTTGACGAACCAGAATACCTGATCCACAGTGCAGAAATATTCGTCACCTTGGCCTTGCCCTTGGAATCAGAATCGGTGTAGGTTTTATCGTACCTGAACTGTGGAAAATCTTCCGGCAAAGGATCGACGCGAAACAGGCGACCTAGGTGGCAAACGTCAGAGAGTCTCCCGGCTTGCCCAAATGCACGTTGATAGCCCGTAGGGTCGTACTGATCGCGATAGACTGTGAGGGTTCGAATGTAGGCATTCTCAGTCCGCTGTATGAACAGGTCGGCAGGGAACGAGAGGACGCTGGTGTATTGCTTGACGGCCAACTTGTCAGTGCAGGATTTGGAGTTGCTCGGATCTGCATCTGCTCGAGCAGGCTTTCGTCTCACGTAACCCAATAGCGAGAAATGGCCCCGTCCTTGAAGGTTCATCAATGCTGCCTCTTCCACTGGCCAAGGTTCTCTATCATCGGGCCCCATTGACTTCATCAGGATTTCCATAGATGCATCACCGCACGGTGCTTCTGTGGTGAAGAAGTGGATGGACACGTCTGGTTTCAACTTCAGAGGTGGCCGAGGGAAGAGAGACAGGCTTTGATCAGCACCGGAAGGGTCTGTTACATCGAGCTCCAAGAATGGCGAGTGGTATGTCGGGTCAGACAGCACCGCTTTCGCCTCAGAAAGTAACCAACAATTCAAGCCGCGCAGGGCGAGGATCTCTGCATGAGAGTCATGAAGAACCATACCCTTGCATTTTGTCATGGCAGAGGACGGTAAGCATTTTGTTCCGGTGGCCAGGGATACGCATGTCAACTCAGGATCATGGCCAGATTTGGCGAGAACTATGGCCGACATGGGGGTCCATTCTCTCTGGCCGTTTGGCTGAGTTCTGGGCTTGCATTTCTGGGGAAGAGTATCAAATTTGGACAGAACAAGATTGGCTATGTTTTGAGGTAGTGAAACCATGAGAATATCGACAGAAGTCGAGAGCTTCAAACGCTATCGATAAATGCCCGGGGTCCTGCTATCAATGTGTCGGAGTCCTTGTCTCAAAAACCTGGACAGCGAAACGGTTTCGAGACATCAAGGGCTGGCGACAAGGATGTAAGCCACAGAATCAGGTAAAATTGTCTTGATCATGGTCGAGGGCGACGGTGTTGCAGATTTAGGTGGAAGGTTGGCCGAAGGGTGGTTAACGAGATCAATCACACAGTCAACCAGTCTTTCTCTCCGTTTATCTAGACACGCAGAGAACATACCACGTTTGTATAGCCCAAGATTATGGTAGCAAACCCATGAGGAGTATGGAGTACACGAGGCTGAAAACTCAACTTGTATGAAATGGACATCTTGGTGCTCTCTCTCTGTCTTTGGACAGTGCGCTCCGGACCACCAGAGTCTAGCAAGCCCCACCAGGTCGGAGAGAAGCTGAGGAAGATCTTTGTGGGGCATATGGCATACAGTATCCGTCCCTGGAGTTGAATGCCATTGCTCGCCGAGAGTAGAGATAAGATGCTGGAGAAGGAAGAACAATCTTGCATCCGAACAAGGCTTGCGAGGCTGTCAGGGAGAGGTCAATGCTAAGGATATGCCTCGAGGTGCAATGGTATTGTACTCTGTAGATATTGGTCTCTGCTCTTTTAATTTCAAAGCCCCGGAGGCGCTACGAGGAATTGAGTCAAACAGCTCCATGTCGAGCCCTCCGTAGTCGCAGTGGGAGTAGTCCGTACTCCATACTCCGTACCTTAGGCGCAATAGCCTTCTATAGGAGGGACAATTGTGGGCTTAGCTCGCCCAGAACCTTTCGCTCATTCGAGCCCCAAATAGGCAGCTCGATGATTTCTTCCCTGTGCTCATGCCTCGATTTTGTGAGCTTCGTGGCACTGGGGTAAGAAGACGCGACACAGCTGATGACGGGTGTATTATTGCATGGAGGGCCTACGGAGTACATACAATGCCTATACAGTAGGCTCGAACCCATGGTTTAATTTCCCTGCATGTTTTAGCCTGTTTGTAGAGCCTGGGGGCGGCCAATGAAGCCCTACAGATTAGCACAGAACAAGGATTCTGATCCTTCCCCAGGAATCCGTTCCAAGCTGATGTTGTTTATGCTTCAGTCAAGCCAGGCCGCAAGAAGGAGTTGTCTCTATCGCCGTACATATCAGGCTTACTCCAACAACCCTCATCTTGTTCCCCAGATCCGCCACCATAAGCCCAAACTCTTGCCTTCCTACAGGGTTCGGAGGACAGAGAACGGATACCTGGGTAATTGTTTAGTGCCTGTGTGAAAGGTGAACGAAGGCGGTGGTGGTGGTGGCTGACATCCCGCCACTCTCCATTTGCTGGCCAGTGCCCGTCGCCCGCCTCTTGATGCCCCGTGTGAATCTTCCTCCACCCTTCACACCAGTCTCTTTTTCTTGACTTCTACGCCTTCTGGAGCTTCCACATCTACTTCGACAGACGCCTAGTAAACCCCGGTCTCTTTCCGCCTCTCAGCATCGCCCATTTCTTGCCCACATTTGGTCGCAGCTTGGCACTAGACCTACGACCATCAATCGCAACATCCGCCGCACCTCGCCGTCATCACTTACAGCCTCGTCATAAATCGAATATGACACTGTTCCGAGGGGAACGAGTCATCTAGGCGCTACAAACTCGAATTGTACACCCTTCACGTTGCTGTGGTTGATCCATTGCCACTGCGAACGCGTCGTGGTTGAAGGCGTCGGTCCGGTTCTCTCTCCCCGGATTGCGAAAACTCGTTGTCATCAAGCGCGAGGAAATGAGGTCCTCGCCCGCCTCTCCACACTGATCAACTTTGCAACATGACCAGCGCATCAAATCAGTCTGATTCTCGATTCGCCGAAGGTCGCAAGCATTCGATCTCGACATCCGGTTATATCGTGCCAGATGTGCGCAATCCTCGCATCGACACCTTGATGAATTCTCAAGGTCAGCCCATCCCTGCGAACCCTTCAGCATTCGATACATCATCGCCCGGATCTCTCGAGTTTAATTTCCCTTTTGCTGGAAGTCCGCATGGCAGCAGCAACAGCGGCATAGACGTCCCGCCGGATTTTCGCAGCAACAACACTCAAGGATTTGCGAACCGAGGTACAGTCCAGTACCCTCCTGGGAGAGTTCCGAGTCCACAACATCGTGCCAGTCTGGCGAGTATCGATTCTGCTTTCGATCATGACCTGTTTGGCTCGGCGGCGTTAAATCAATGGACCTCAACCGGCGCGCCTAATCAAGCTGTAGATAATGCAGATGATTCGCCCGCAAAAGCCGCCAGCACCGTAGACCAGGACAGGAAAACGGAAAAGGACGACGAAAAGCCACCAGCATGGAGTGAATTGAAGACCAAGGCCGGAAAGGAAAGGAAACGTCTTCCACTGGCATGCATAGCATGTCGGCGAAAGAAAATCAAATGTTCAGGCGAAAAGCCTGCTTGTAAGCATTGTCTGAGAGCCAGAATCCCTTGCGTGTACAAAGTCACTACGAGGAAAGCCGCCCCCAGGACGGACTACATGGCTATGCTCGACAAGAGGCTAAAGCGTATGGAGGATCGGGTTATTCGAGTCATTCCCAAGGACGAATTGCCAGACTTCAATGCCACTGGGCGTGCAACGGTCCGTCCTCCGCTCCCTGGAAATGGCCCCAAGAAAGACAAGGATCAGCCGAAGAAACGCTCCGCCGATGAAGCATTTACGCAGGAATTGAACGACTGGAGGAACCCCAAAGAGAAGACCACCCTCCTCGACCCTACGGCCGGTCTGAGGAAGCAACGAGAAGGAGAAAACAAGCTGTTTATCGAGGGTTCCGAGTCCCTGCCACCACAACACATTCAAGAACATCTCGCCGAGGTCTTTTTCGACTGTGTCTACGGCCAGTCTTATCTCCTCCTTCACAAACCCAGCTTCATGCGGAAATTGAAAGCTGGCACTATACCCCCCGTACTGATCCTCGCCGTGTGCGCCATCTCCGCCCGTTTCTCGACCCATCCCCAGGTCAGCACCGAACCGGCCTTTCTCCGCGGCGAGCAGTGGGCCACACCGGCCCGTCGCATCGTCGAGAAACGTCACTACGAACCCAACATCACCATATTGACCGCCATGCTCATGCTCGGCCTCCATTACTTCGGGACGTGCGAGGGTGGTCTGTCGTGGTCCTTCGGTGGCCAAGCCATGCGGATGGGCTACGCCCTCCAGCTCCATCGGGAGCTCGACCACGATCCGTTGGGTAGAAATCAAATCGCAAACGACTCCAACAAGAAAAGCCCCAAACCTCCCGAATTGTCATTTACGGATCGCGAAATTCGACGCCGCACCATGTGGGCATGCTACCTCATGGACACGTTCAACTCATCCGGCACCGAACGCCCGTCGTTCTTGAACGAAGATTACTACCAGATCCAGCTCCCCATCAAAGAGTCTCATTTCCAGATGGAAGTGCCTGGCCCGACCGAAGACCTGTACGGGAACGTGCCCATGTCGTCGACATTCTCCTCCTCTTCGTCCTCCACGACCAATCCCCATAATGCCAACCGACAGCGCCAGCAACAACAACAACAACAATCATCCACCACCACCACCAACACCACCTCCGACTCCAGAACAACCTCGACAGCTGCTGGTACTCTCGACACCACGGCGGCTAACGCCGCCGCCGACATGGCCGCCGAAGCCAAAGCCAACATGGGCGTGTCGGCGTACATTGTCCGCGGCGTGGTCCTGTGGAAACGGATCGTCAAATACCTCAACCTGGGAGGCAAGGACAAGGACCCCCACCCCATCTGGGATACGCTCTCGCAGTTCGCGACGCTGCAGAGGCAAATCACGCAGCTCAAGTCCAGTCTTCCTCCGGACCTGACGTACACGCCTGACAACCTGGCCGCTCACGCGTCGGAACGGCTGGCGAACCAGTTTTTGTTTTTGCACATCGTGTTGGCGCAGACGAGTTTGTTCCTGCACCGGTTCGCCATCCCCACGGTCCCTTCCCCGTCGCGGCGCCCTCACCACGCCGCCTACACGGCTGCCGGGATGCCCCGGGCCTTTTTGAGCAACAGCGCCAACACGGTCGTCGAGTCGGCGAGCCTCATTTCGAAAATCATCGCCGACTCGGCCGGTCACACCCTCACCGTCCCCTTTGCCGGGTACTGCGCCTACGCCGCCGCCACCGTCCACGTCTGGGGGATTTTCAGCAAGAACCCGACCCTGGAGGCCACGTCCAAGGAGAACCTGCGTCACAACTACAAGTACCTCACCCGAATGAAGCGCTACTGGGGAATGTTTCACTACATGGCCGAGAGCGTCAAGGACAACTATCGGGCCTTTGCCGACGCCGCCATCAGGGGAGTCGGAGGTCAACCGTCATCACGTGGCAGTGGCATGCTTCGTCACCAGGCGTCTTCGTCGTCCTCCTTCAACGTCCACGACCCCCACGCCAATGCGACGTCGTCGTCCGGTATCCCGATGGACCTCGACCCTGGTACGAGTGGTCCACCTTCCCGTGCCGAGACACCCGGTCTCGATGCAAAGGCTGGCGCAGGAGCAGGAGGACAGCCAGGCAACACCTCACAACAAACATCGGGCACTGCATCGGGTGGTAGTAAGGCAATGTTCCAGTACGGGGATTGGTTCGACAAGTACCCACACGGCGTGAGCGAGAGTGAGTGGGAAAAGAGTCACCTCGAGTACAGGCGCGAGGCGGGCACCGCCGAGGCTGTCATGTCGCAGCGCAGCGACCTCCAGAGCGTCGAGGAGTTCTTTGCGAGTCTGAGTCCGCCTAGCAAGGCCGACGACGGGCCTGGCGGGCAGAGGGGCAAGAAGATTGCGCGACGGCGCGGGAAGAGTGTGGCGGAAAACAAGAAGGACACGAAAGGTACTGCTGGGAACAATGCTTCATCTACTGCTGCTGCTGGTAACACCGCCGAAACTTCTACTTCAACCTCTACCGCTGGGCCTGGACAGGCACAACAGCCATCACAGCAACAGCAGCAAGGAAGGCCACGGTTACCAAGTAATGCGACAGAAGTCAACATCAGCCAACCATTCAACCCAGCCGATTTCGACATCACGTCCCCGTCTCTATATCAAACGCCCCAGATTGGCGGACAGCCTCAACAAGGCCAGCCCGATCCCTTTGGCTTCGACAATCTCCCGCACATCAATATAAACTGGATCAACACCCTTCCGGCGATTGATCGACAAATGGTCTTTGGTGCTTATTCAGGCGTAGACCCATCTTCAGAGACAGCGAACCAGGCCACCGCTGGCTTGGGCCACCTCGACGACAACTCCACGTCTATGGACACATATGGCGGCAATGCAAATCCATGGGAGCAGCTGGACTTGAACGGGTTCGGGTATAATGATCCTCTTGCGGGTGGAACCAACATGATGGACACAGGCTCTTCGGCTTGGTTGTTGCCGTTCAACATCGAGCCTCCAAACTATGGTGGTGGCATGGAGGATTTTGGGAATACCGCTCTTGATGGTATGGATTTTGGCGATATGTCAGTCGCTGGAGGAGGCATTGGGAGTGACAACGGCTCTCAGTACCCAGACCATACCTCTGGGGGTTGAGGAGTATTGAGGGCAGAAGTACTGGGACACAATGGATTCCAGCACTAAGTGCAGCTGATCCCCAAAATTGTGACTGAAAGCCCATATCTGCGTTAGATGATGTTCGCTTCACACTATCACATTGATAGATTTTTGTAGCAAACGCAATTGCAAATGCTGCCTGATTATGGTCACACCCCTTTCGCTCCAAACATGAAATTATCTCGATTTGGTTTAGTCTTCCCATTCCTCATCGAGCTGGTCGATTAATCTATTCTCATCGTCCGGGGTACGTCCTCGTCCGACCCTTTCGTCGGTTCCGACACGATGGTAGCCTCTTCGACCGGCAAAGAGTTGAGTGATTCCACCTGGTAAGCGCTGCGTGCAGGAAGAGAAGAGGATGACAAACATGTCCTAGATTGTCGAAGTAAAGATGGTGTCAGCGTATTCATGGTAAGTTGGATTTGAAGTCGAAATTCCCGGAAGTGGACGCTTGTCGAGAATAGTGATGCAGGAAACGAGGCCTCTGTAGAGTAGCACTGTGTGTAAGGGAACATGGCCCGACAGACGGCGAATAACAGAATTATAGAAGAAAGGGGACAGAACTTACCGAGATGAAGCTGAACAGTCCAGCCCAGACACTGTAGTTGGGCAGTTGTTTCCATCCTCTTTGATGCATCACGTTGCGCTGGTATACAATACCTCCAATTAGGTAGACGAGCAATGCAATGCCGAGTATGACGCCAAAGACTGCGCCGGGTCCTAGTGTGCCTTTCTCTTCGGACTGTATCGTACCACCGCAAGCATATCTTGAGCGAACTTCGAAAATGTAGGTGCAGTGGTCGGGAGAGCCGAGGAACGAGATCGCCGGTCTGGTAGAGAGACTCGGGGAAGTGTCGCAGATGAAAGACAGAAGAGTAGACTTGCGCCTCTTGTTGGCTTTGCTGGTTGCGGCATCAGAGTCGACCGGGACACCGTCCTCGTCCAGCACGGGACAGGGTGAGCCCATGGTGTAATTCAGGAGCAGTTTCTTGCCCCGGAATATAAGCTCATCGTTCTCCTGTCCGATACTGTAGACATGGCCTTTTTGGGTCTTGTAAAATGCCGATACGTTCACGACTCTTGACTCAGATATGCCTTCGACATAATCGAGAGGTTCCACCACCGGCCCACAAAAGTTCAAGGTGAAGTTGGCGGGATAATCATAACCTCGAGCGTGGAAGGACTCGTTCGTCGCAGTCTGGTATTTTGTTCCGTCGAGCGTCAACTGCAGAGGTCGCAGGTCAAAAAAGGAGCCGGTGGATGTCGAGTGGATTGTGCATGGCTTCGGCGACGGCTTAGGTTTTACTTCTGTTGAGGCGAGAGCCGCAGGTATAGAAGAGAGGAGAAGGAGCGACATCGTGGTAGAGATATACATGATTTCAAGTGTCCGTTTGTGAGCGAGCGAAATGGGTTGGAATGCTGCAAATGATATTGTGGCACTTGGTGTGGAAATGCGCGTGTAATGGTGAGAAACGAATGAGTAAGATATTAGGCAGAACCAGTATAGGCGACACCAGCCAGGAAATGCGGAAGGAGTGTTGCTTTTGGTTGTCTACGTGTACCTTGTGTCAGTACAGATAGAAGAAGTGATGGAAAAAAAGATAATGAACACCTATCGAGGAGGAACAATTGACGGGACAGGGATACAGGAGCACGGATGATTGTACGGTAACTAAGTTCATGAACAATGGCGGACTGGATGGTGTCGCGCAGTTTCAACTGTCAGACTCTATTGATTTTGGGATCCTCGACGTGGATTCCCTGCAGGGGGGAACGGGAGGAATTACAATCTATGGCTATCTGGTGGCTGGCGCAGGCTTCTGTTCCAGGCTTGTTGGGCTTTTTCCTGGGCTTGCATCCCTTTAACCAGCGACGCCTGAAGCGCCTCACTTACGCCTAAAACGCCCGTGCAGACCCCCTCGGACCGGACGTGCATAATGACGCACTAAGCTGGAAGTTATTGTGCCACCTCGCAAGGATATTGTACTGGATTTACTGTGCGAGTATGGAGGATATACCCAGTAGAGACAGATAAGGAGTACGCAATGTAATCTTAAAAGGTTCCTAGACGTATTCGTACTCATGGTATGCCGCAGATAAGGCACAGAGTACTCCGTACCTCAAGACACTCCCTGCGATCTTTCTTGCAGACGGGTGCGAGTATTCGTATTCTTACTTGTGGCTGTGCGAAACGCGACGACGCGCCGCGGGACCATCGCAAGTCGCAAGAGTGGCGCCTTGGATGATCTCATCCGGCTACTGAGCCTCCCGAAACAATTTTGTCGGCTTCAGCAATACGGAGTACATAGATCGATCTGCTTTAATAAAGCGTCCATTCGCACTCCCTGCATATACACTCGTTCCAGTCATTCAAGCACGAATCTGTCGGAGCGCAGTTTCTGTATACTCTCCTTTCACCCAAAATCATCGCCGAACGAAGATCATGGGCGTCAAACCGGCTGGAAAGCCACACTACGAATTCCTAGGACCGTATGTTAAAATCCCATAAAGAGCCATTGACAAGGAACATGCTGATAGGTTGCGCAGACCAGGTGCAGCTTTTATTGTCTTCGTACTGCCACTCCTTACCTACGCGACCGTCTTTTTCTGCAACGATGTCTCAGGTTGCCCGGCTCCGGGCCTGCTGAGTCCCAGCACCCTGTCCCTTGAGAAGCTCAAATCACAAATTCCATGGCCGGAGGAAGGGCTCCTCGGCCTGTTCGATGCAGGAGTGTTTTGTTGGACGTTGTCATTCTACGGCGCCAGCCTCCTTCTACATTTTGTACTGCCTGGAGACGAGGTTGATGGAGTTGTCTTGAGCAATGGAGGAAGACACCACTACAAATTCAATGCCTGGAGCTCTGCCATGTTGATCATGGCTGGTCTTGCTGTTGGAACTGCCATCCAAGGCGCCGATTTCGTGGTTTGGACGTTCATCTGGGATAAATTCCCCCAGCTGGTCACGGCCAACCTGGCCATCGCATATGCTTTGTCTGCTGCTGTCTACCTGGCTTCGTTCAGCATCCCTCATCCGGGCCAGCCAAACCCAGACAATCGCGAGTTGGCCCCTGGCGGTTGTACAGGAAACATTTTGTACGACTTTTTCATCGGTCGAGAACTGAATCCACGATTCAAACTGCCTGGTTGGATTCCCATTGCGGGTGGCCAAGTTCTGGACGTCAAAGTCTTTATGGAAATCAGGCCTGGGTTGTTGGGCTACATCATTCTTGATCTAGCATTCATCGCTCACCAATACAAGGAGCACGGCTATGTGACCGACTCCATCCTCCTGATCACATTATTCCAGGCGCTCTATGTGTTCGACTCACTCTATATGGAGCCAGCTATTCTCACCACCATCGACATCATTGCCGATGGGTTTGGCTTCATGCTTGCATTTGGAGACATCGTCTGGGTGCCATTCATCTATAGTCTCCCAGCACGATATCTGGCAGTCTACCCACTTTCTTTGGGGTTTACTGGTATCACTGCCGTGCTAGGGATACAAGCCGTCGGATACTACATCTTCCGGTCATCCAACAACCAGAAGAACCGCTTCCGCACGAATCCGAGTGATCCACGCGTCTCACACCTGGAAACAATCACGACCGAGACAGGTTCAAAGCTGATTGTTTCTGGATGGTGGGGTCGTGCTCGCCATATTAACTATCTTGGAGATTGGATCATGGGATTCTCATACTGTACACCTACTGGCGTTGCCGGTTATGTCATCCACAGCTACACGAATCCGGTTACTGGAGCCGTGACCAGGGAGCTCACGCAGGGGCCAGCACGTGGTTGGGGCATGATTTTCACCTATTTCTACATCGTCTACTTCGCTGTTTTACTCGTCCACCGGGAGTTGAGGGATGAGGAAAAGTGCCAAAAGAAGTATGGTAAAGATTATGAACGCTACTGCAAGCGGGTCAGATGGAGAATCATCCCTGGGGTCTATTGATCGAGCAAGGTTCCCCAGGTCCAGACACCTGGTACTTGGGTTAATGCAAGCAGCTTCCATGTGGCAAGCGGGAAAATGCCATCGCTTTAAGCGAGTCGATTGTACAGTGTACATAAATAGATGCAGAATTATTCAATATCGGATTTCTCGATGTCGGCGCACGGCAGAACCAACATGATCTCTCCTATGACCAGTTACAACAATTTCGCCGTTTCTGGTAGGAAATGCTTGAGGATGTCTGGGCGTCGGCATAACAAACCCTCGACACACGCGTCTTCTTTGAGGGGTCAACAGCATGCTATGTATCAATGGCAATCAAAACCATCTTGCTCGTGTCCAAACCAAAACCTCAACTCTAAGTGCGGTGCGCCCAGGCCATGCCATGGTCAAGCATTTTGGGGGGTTTGATGTTCCGGGACAAAACAAGAAGGACGTTGAAGATCCCTCGTATTCCTGGACACATTTTCCCTTCCCCAAAAACATCCCTCGGCCAGCGCGGGCATATTTTTACTCCCCGTTGCCACCTCCTAACGCTGGCTGAAGCAACTAGCTGGGGGATTGCCTGGGGCTGGACTGGTCTGAGGTCGCGCTATCTTCTAAACGAGGCAATATGGGGTATTCAAGGCTTCCAACTAGACCGGGGTCGAGCGTCTGTCACCTGGCACTCCCCAAATGGTCCATGTCCGGGGGAGTCCCACTGTTTCTACTGTTGGCTTAGGACGACCAGAACCACGTTCTCCACAAGGTTGATGTGGCTACAATACAAAAGCGACGTCGCTTGCCTTGTTGCTCCTCGCCTCGTTTCGCCACGCAGTCTGATCAGGTCTCGTTGCATACATATCATCTTTCGAAATGGGTCTCGGAATCATTGATCCCGTCTCTACGAGCCATGTGCCTGGCACAGTCTTGCTCGACCAGAATGCTGCTCACTCCGAACAACAAACGGGCCGTCTGAAGCATGGAACTGGAAGGAACTCGCACATTGTGCTTGCTCCTCAGCCGTCCGAGGATCCCAATGACCCCTTGAACTGGTCCTCGCTCAAGAAACACCTCGTCCTTGCCATCATCTTCTTCGGTGTCATCATTCATGGATGTGTAAGGCATCGCCCAGCCTCTTTTCGATCTTCTTCTTTGCTGACGCGATCTGGAACAGGTTCCCTCTCCTCTCCTCAACGCCGGTGTCGTCGAAGTCTCCCTGGCTCTCAAGAAAACTCCGACCGCCATCGCTCAACTCTCCGGTTACATGCTGCTCTGCACGGGCGCTTGCGGTCCGTTCGTTTCGGCCCTGGGTCGAAAGTATGGCAAGCGCCCAGTCTACGTTCTCTCCTCCGTCTTCGGCACTATAGGTATCCTAGTTTCGGAATCGGCTTCTGGCTACAGTACGCTTCTCGCCGGTCGAATTCTCCAGGGTGTTGGCATCGCCGCCTATGAAGCAATTTCGATTGCCTCCATTGGTGACATGTTCTTCGTCCACGAACGAGGACCCAGAGTTGCCGTGGCCATGTTCCTCCTCGCTGCCATCTCCAATGGTGTGTCTATTATTGCTGGCGTGATCACAGCAAACTTGGGTGAGTTTTTTGCTTTGGTGCTGTGAGGTTTGCACTCTGACTGACCATCACAGGCTGGCGGTTCAACTTCTACATTATGCTGCCATTCGGAGCTCTCCAGACCATTCTCGTCATTCTTTGCTGCCCCGAGACACAATACAAGCGCAAAGCCATCTACGAGATCGACACTGCGGGCTCAGAGGAGAACCTCGAGAAACTCGCATCTGTCGAGAGCCGAGCAGCACGACACGTGGAGGACAAAACGGCCGAAGTCGCAGCGACTGATGTCGAGAGAACCACCACTCTCACCTCTGTCGAGTCTGTACCTCCAAAGAAAGGTTTCCTTCGAGAAATGTCTCTCTATTCGGGAACATACAGCACCGACCCTCTCTGGAAGATGGTTATCGCGTCCGTTGCTATCCTCTTGAATGTTGCCTGTAAGTCGTCGACGTTCATCACGTTGCACATTGATTTTCTAACACCTTCAGGTTTCTACCAAATCATCATGACCGGCATCATCATTGCGTTTTACGTCGTGGTCGCCATCACCTCGGGTGTCATTTTCGCCGCCCCACCATATCTACTCGGTTCAGCAACGATTGGTTACATGTCAGCTGGTCCTCTCATCGGAGGATTCTTCGGCGCCCTCTTCCCCTTCCTGTGTGCTGAGCCATTCGCCAAATTTCTGACACGCAGGAACAAGGGTGTCTATGAGCCAGAGTTCCACTTGATTCCAGTCTTCACCATTGGCATGGTCTGCGCAGTTGCTGGTCTTGCCGGATGGGGTCGAGTCGTTGAAAACGGTGACACCATCTATCTGGTCTGTTTCCTGTGGGGTCTCATGCTCTTTGGAATGACATCCATTGCCGCCTGGTGTACTTCTTGGTCATTGGATGCATTCAGACAACACAGTACAGAACTGTTCATCATGAACATGGTCTTCAAGAACTTTGTGAGTCCAAGAGCCTCTTTGTGTGTCGTGATCATCACTGACCCATCTTCCTTAGTTCTTCTACGGCCTGACAAACTATGTGATTAACTGGTGGGGTAAGTCGGCAATCCTTTTCTGTGCCATTGGGACCTGATCACTGACGATATACAATAGCTACCCACGGCGCTCTCGCCATGGCAGGTACGATGGCAGGCATTTGTGCCGCTCTTTGTCTCTTGGGCATTCCCATGTACATGTTTGGCAAGAGGTATCGTCTCCATTGGCATCATCACAATCTTCTCAGGAAGTTGCATCTCGAGACGGATCAAACGTTTGGGGAGACTGGTGGTCATTAAGGAGGCGGTGTGATGTTGAGTAGAGCAGTAATGTTACGGGACGGTAAACGGGGGTTTGAAAACCAAGAACAACAAAAAAGAAGAAGATACGTGACCTGTCTGGCACCAAGTTGTAGGTTTTTGATCCGAAAGCCCTTGCCATGTCTGTCATACGCATGCACGCGCACAGGTCTGGAGTGTTTTGATGGCACAATATGTCGCTTTGTACAGTTCAATCTCGACTTTGATCATGTATAAATCATGATGATGATGGTCATAATCCGATACTTTTCAATCTTCAGATTTCGGTTTCCCTTTTCAATTTCTTCTTCAAGTGTGACCATGGTCGCTTGAATACTTTTGATGTCACCGATATACTATCATGTACTGGTTTCTGGGGGAGTTATGTACACCAGTATGGGACCAACATTGGACTAGCCATATCATTCTCTCTACCAGTATCGGGTATGCCTTTTCATACACAGTAGTACATGAGAGAGATTCCTACGACCGATATTCAGGTTGGGGTTTTATTCTTCTCGGTTGGCTGTCTTGTTCAATTTGTTTTTGTCTTCTCATGGCTCATTCTTATAACCATCCAAGAATTTGATGGTCAAGGTATTCAAAGTTTCCTTTTGAATCTTTTCCCTTCCGGCCGCCTTGAGTCGATCAACGTCCTGTCTACAATCCAGGTACAACCCACGAAGTTCTTTGGCATTCCCCGTAGCTAGGTACGCACAAGTTGCACTACAGACCCAGAAAAGGGACAGGTAAGTATTGGCAAAAGTGATTCTTAAAAGCAGACAAGGGTGCGAAGGGAAAACGTCAAAACTTACCCACAAAGTTCGGGACCGTCCTTGAATAAACTTCTGAAGTCCGTTCCATGTTGTGTCAAGTGAGGATACTTTTCCAACATTTGTGGTGTTGCTTCTTCTGTTCGGTTTTGGAGGGCGCGTAGTTAGCCTTTTGTCCCTTGTTTGTAGTGGACGGACTCTCCGGGAGCCGTTCCCTCCCCTTCATGCTGGGCAGAAAAAAAGTTGGAACTTACTTGCGGCCATTGCGGTATAAACTCCACCGGGATGAAGAGCGTATGTTTGAATGTTTAGATTGTCCAAGTCGAGTTCCTCTTGTAGGGTCGAAATGGCACGTGCATCAGCGCACTTGCTGGAATTGTAGCCGATTGCAAAAGGAAAATCGACGGTCGCCGCACGAGATGCAATGTCGATTATGATTCCGGAATTCCGTTCTCTCATACTGGGTAGGACGTGCCAGATTGTAGCCATGTGCTGTAAACACACACACATTAAATCTCTGATCACCACCTTTGAAGTACCATTATTCAGGAAGGGAGGACTGGCCAAGGGTAACAACTCACACTCTTGAAATTGACCTCGATCGTTTTCCAAAATTGTTCAAAACTCTCATTCCATTGGGGTTTACCTGGTGAGACACCGGCGTTGTTGACGAGGATACTGTTGTGTAATCGTCAGAGATGAGACAAAATCAAACAAATCACACAAAACCAGTCATTTACTAGATTTGGTTTCCTCTCTCGTCGAGAAGGAAAGGGTCAACTTACTCGATAGGTCCCAAATCCTTGACGATCTGATCCAAAACCGATCTCAGACGGGCGATGTCGGTGACATCGCAAGTATAAGTGTTGGCTTTGACCCCGTCGTACTTTTCGCATATCCCTTTGGTTTCGCTTAGTGGTTCCGCCAACAAGTCGATGATTGCCAGGTTCGCTCCGGAATTGGCGAGGTTTTCTGAAATGGCTCGACCTATACCTCTGCCGGCTCCGGTGACCACGGCGACTTTACCCTTGTTGGCACCCTTCAAGGCCTCTGGCTTGATGGGACCGTACGGTTCATGTTTGAGAGGGGGGTCGGAAAAACCAAACTTGGAGGCGTCCATGGTTGTATGCTCCTGGGTATGGGTGTATTGACGTTATGGATAGAGACCGATTGACGACCGGAACAAAAATACTGTCCAGTGTACTGTCCAAGACGAATGGTCAAAAAAAGATTGATCGTTTTTTGTTGGACGTCTGTGTCTCCGGTCGAACCGTTCGACTTCTCACCCACCTTCAACAAGAACCCATTTCCCATGTCAAATGTCACGGCAAAATATGGGAGTCATGGTCACATCCCACATGCAAGTCGTCGGGTCATTACCCCACATCCGCCTTGCTGTAATACAAGTACAAGCAAGCCATGGAGTTGTACAACAAAGGGGGGCGGGGAAGATGGAAAAGGTGGATGAAGTGATGAATTGTTGGACTGTGGGGTAAAAAATTGACTTGGGCACCAATGCTCAGCCTCGCCTTCTCCAAAAAACTGAGGTCTGTGTACGAATACGAGTACGAGTAGTACAGCCTGATGGATGTGATGATTACGTTTTCCTCTTATTTGATGCGAAGAGAGAGAGGGGGGGATGATCAACGGGATATCCTTGTGATTGTAATTGTGATGAGGGGAATTAGACCTTCAGGGATGTAGTAGTATTCGTTACTGTCTTGTGTGTGTCTAATTTTTTGTATGTGTAGCCCTCATCTAATCATCCCAACCACTACAACTTCGCTCTAGGAGAACTCTTCTTCTCATTTTCCACCCATTCCTTCAATACGTTTCTCATGACCTTTGCATTGACGTTCCTTGGGATCTCATTCACGAACCTCACCCCTCCTCGAAGACGTTTGTGGTTGCTGACTTTGGCGTTCAAAAAGTCGTGAATGTCTTTTTCGGAGAGTGAAGGCTTCGAAGCGACGATGTACGCCCGAGGGAGGTCATTGCCGTTGCCGTCGGGTACGCCTATGACTCCGATATCCGCGACGCCAGGACATTGTCCCAGTATGGCTTCAATTTCTGTGGGAGATATCTGATGAGACTTGTATTTGAGTAATTCCTAAGAAACCGAAAAAATGTGTCAATTAAATCATATGCTCGTCCGGGAATATATCGAGGTTGATATTGTTATTTGTAAATTGAGATGAGGCTACCCACCTTTGATCGTCCCACAATGTACAATTTACCATCTTCTGAGAAATAGCCGATGTCACCACTTCGGAACCACCCATCTTGAGTGAATGCTGACTTCGTGGCTTCTGGGTTCTTGTAGTATTCTCGAATCATGTTCGGACCTGAAAGAGAACCACTCGTGCGTCAGTATTGTTCCCGCGGTATCTGGTGGCTCTCGTGTAAGATTAAAGGACATACCTTTACAACATAACTCCCCGGGTTGACCTGGACCAAGCCTCTTGCCTTCCGCGTCGATGATGATGGCCTGCATATTGGGTAATAATCGTCCCGAACTGCCTTCTGTGCCTGTCTCCATCGGGGCAGGCTGTGCGGCACCGGTCGTGGTCTCGGTCATTCCCCAATTCACCCGCATGATGACACCCTCGGGCAACATCTTTTGGACTTTGGCTTGTAGCTCTTTAGGCAGGGGAGACGCTCCACTCATGACGAACCTGAACCCGGCCAGGTCTTCCTTGCTGCATTCGTTGGAGATTCGATTCCAGATGGCCGGGACCATGAAGAATGTCGAAAGACGGTATTTGCGGATACATTCGATCAGGTAAGGGAAGTCGAATTTCTTGAACATGTACACTTGCATGCCGCACTGCATGGCCATCATGGTCTGTACGGTGATGCCGAGAACGACGGCGTTTTGCATGATGCCCGGCATGCGGAGGTATTCTCCTTCGCTGATGGCCTTGGTGGCGAAATGGTCGAAATGATACGCCATTTGTAAAAGGTTTGCTACGATATTGTAATGCGTGATTTTTACGCCTGTGTTTCGAAACTCAACGTTAGGTGCGCACTTTGGATACTGAGGTTTTGTGGATCGGTGGTGATGGTGATTGTGGCAAACTTACCCTTTGGTACACCCGTCGTGCCACTCGAGTAGACCAGACAAGCAGTGGTACTCTCAAGTTCAGCCTTGTCAGTTATCTTCCGCCACTGTAGGCATGAATTGCTAATAATGGATTTTCCGTTCGCGTCCACAATGTCTAGTGATTCAGACATCATGGTCAGGATACGAATATCCTGGATTCCAGACTGAGCGACGGCTTCTCTGGCGACTTTTTGGGTCTGTGGAGAGCAGATCAGGATCTTGGGACTACTCAGCTTGAGTTGCCGAGTGAGTTCAAAGGCCGTGGCTGTCATCGGACACGTCGCGTGGATGCCCGCCGCACACAGAACGCCGAGTAGTGTCGGAGCGACCATGACTTGGTTCTCGACAAACGACAAAACAATATCCTCGCCGCCGCGCTGTTCGCCGATACCAAGATCCCGGAGACCTTGACCGATTCGACGTGTGAGGTCCCTCGTTTGTCCGAGGGTGACTTTTAGGTTCGGATTGAAACCATCGAGCCATATTGAATCCTTTTCTTTGAACCTTGTCCGCTCAAACAGAAATGTCAGGATATCTTGGTTTGGGATATCGATTTGATAATTGGACGTGAAAATCATGGTGACCTTGGGAAGTATCAAACGGTGCTAAATATACTGCTGGAAATTATCAAACAACTCTTCAAGCCGTATTCGATGGAAACCGAAGCAAAGGACTCTGCCCCTGCTCTGCCCTAGGACACAAAGGTGATAATGTGTTTACAGCAAGGTCGAGGTTGAGGTCGGACGCCAAATCCCCAACAAAGACCACACAAGGCTGCACCGAGCCTTGTTGCGTAGGTACCTTGTCTGATCTCACCCTCTTCTGCCTTTTGATCTTCAACTTGACAGTACTTTGAAATGAGGAGACAAGAGATACGCTCTGTTACTCCTTCTTGCCTGGCTAAGGTAAATCTTGGAGTGATGGTTCATTTGTCAACTCTTCCGACTTACAAAACACTCTCCAATCAATTCCATTCCAAAAAGGTAAGACGAAGTTACTCCATGCAAAAATACCGCCGACCCCTCCACGTCTGTGGAAAGAAAAACTTGGGGAAAGCCGCAGATTCAGTGGAGTAAAGAGGTCGGTTTGTATCTGTGCTCCGTACCTAGTCCAGCTACTGTTCCTCTGGAACGTGGGGCTCCAAAGGGGGAATCTGGACAACTGGGGCCAGGGCCACACCGAAACACCCAACACCATACATCCACAGAACAGACAACTTACCTAAGCTTCCACCTGGGTCGATATCACCTTGTTACAGAGAGTGTCCAGGCGTGGCAGATCCACGAGGCTGTAAAGTGCCTTTTGGAAAGGGAAGGCGTGTGAACATTCACGGCCACGGCCACC